CAGGGCCCAAGATCGGCTCGTCATGCACGAGTCCATCGGCGGCCGTGTCCCGCCGCTTGCCACCCGGCCAGGCCTACCGCCTCCTAGCAACCGCAGAGCCGGTAAAAGCTTCCAGTATCGGAGGAGCTGTGGACGTCGTCCAAGTCCCGGAGTCTGACCCGTCACCAGAGGCCGCCTCAATAGCTTTTGAAGCTCGCGTCAAGTCCATAATCGAGAGATTAGCCCAAATGTCGCCGCAGCAGCAAGCAGCTGGAAAGTGGGCGTACTGGACGCAGCTGAGCATCCGGGGTCCCCTCAACGACGCGTATGAGGCGATTGGCTCGGCTGAGGGCGATGGTTATGAGGAGGCGGCTGCTTGGGCAGGACGAGTAATGGCGCTCCACGCAAGGAGCGAAGATTCTAAGGAGGGAATTGCAGCGTTCTTGGGCAAGCGGTCGCCTTCTTGGGTTAGTAAACTTTGAGCGGAATTCTTAGTTCTCGCATATATTAGCGGCGTCTCATTGCGTTTCCTTGAAATCAAGAGGGAGGATGATTGCACATTTGTTTTTTTTTTTCTTAACGAACCACTCTTTTATATTTTGATCTTGTTACATTCCGAGAAGTTTCTCGCTCTGGAGCATATTGGTTGCATCCTCAAACTCTAGGCCAATACCTACTGTTTCACGTCTTGTGTGAACACACGTAGGCTTTGAAAGAATAAATCAGAATGTGCCTTGTTCCTGAGCCTATAATGTCCCGATATCCAGATGGAAGACTGCTATCAATGCGATTGAGAACTAGCGCCCTCCGCGATGAGGCCGAGGGTTATCATCTACAAAAAAATGCCCGTTTCCCTCTTACGGCATGTTATAATGTCAATATTGTTCTCTTATCCAGCACTGCCACCGATTTCTTTGAAAAGAACAGCATCAAGCTAGATCTCAACACTGAGATGCCGTGCCCTTACTGGGCGCCCTCTATGTAGAACTAGGCTAGTTTGCGTCATGATTTCAAGAGTGCCACTTGCCTGACATCTTCGTGATCGGCCGCAAAGGTATCAGAAGATCGTCAACGAGAGTTTCCCCGTCTTGATGGCTGAAAGCCATTAGGCTCGCACGCTGGAGTTGTCCATAAGTTGGGTTTGGACTTGTCCAAACGTGACCACTTGGGCTGGATCTAAATTTACGATTTTATGAGAAATGGAGGGCCGCGATCAACGAAGCCTCCGATTTCTGCGTCGTAGTGGCGATCTCCTCTGCCGGATCCTATCAGCTGAATTCCGCCGCAGCACCACCACGTCTTTACCAATCTACCGCCCGCCATCGCATATTCTTTCCCGAAGAAGGGTAGCATGCCTCAGATAATATGTCACCGACTTAATCATTTCGATTTTTCAGTCTATTCGTCACCGTCACCGACACCACCGATCTTAGAGCATGCGGTGAACAAGGCGGCCCTTACGTCCCTTCCCTCGCCGACGATTAACCGGCGTCCGGTCTCGCCCAGCTGATTGAATTCGTGGATGAGCTTCACCTCACTGAGAACTAACTAAGGAACGCCGAGGATCTCCAATTCAATGGTAGCGCTTAGGCGGCTGCGATGTTGACGCGATGTTGCCGACCCAGACTGTTTGCACCTCAACCGGACATCGCTTCGCCTCTGTCTTAGCGGCAGCCATATGTCTCTGGTATCGGCTGGATTTGGCATTTTCTTTCGATCAACAAGGACCAAAGATCCTCGATGACCAAACCTTTTTCCAAAAATAAAGTGAAACTAGTCCGTCTTGGTACACAATTCTCGAACTCTTCGCGCCACAGTTGTCCTGCCCTCTCCCTTGCAAGCAAACCCGACCCTGGGGCTAGCTTCATCGAGGTGCAGAATTTAAACTATCTCCGCGCCACCGCCACAGCAGAGCGGTGAGCCCAATCGTGGTTGGGATCGATGTCGCCAGGACCTGCAACCCTAGACCCCCTTGGGACATGGACCCAGCAGAAAGCTCGTAGGGCTGGTTGTCCTGCCGCCGCCAGTTCAGTAGCTCTCTGCTGCGCCCATGCTGAGCCCGCGATGAATGAGATCGCTTCGTTGCACGGCGATAGATTCCCATCAATGTATGGGATGGAAACGAATACAAATATCGCCCGAGATGCCGCCCTGGATTCCAAAAATTCAATCCATCATCATTCACATCAACAACATCATCTCATCTCATTCATCAACTACAACATCTACAACATCTCATCTGATTCAATCACACTACAATTCAAATTACCTTCGAGTCAACCGATCAAACCTACATTCACAATGAAGTTCCAACTTTTCACCACCGTCCTCTCTTTCGTCGCCGCCGTCACTGCCGCGCCCGCCCCCCATGCTAGCATCATCGAAGCACGACAGGTCACTAATTCATCGGCACCCAACCCACCTACCAAGACGGTCTACCCCTCCCTCCAGGTCCGCTGGAAGTCCAAGGAGCCCAATACCTTCGGCAGCAACACCCAGGTCGGCCACATCCTCAACAACCCCAACGAGCAAGTCGTCACTTCAGTCTACTTCGCCTTTACCCAGGCCGAGGCTGGCAAGACGTGCCGATTGACATTCCGCCTCTCGCGAGACGACTGGATCGTCGGTCCCCAGGGCCAGCCTGCCGTCTTCGACGTCTACCGCCTTCAGTCATGCCTCAACGAGAAGTACACCTGGAATGGCAGGATTCCTCGCACCGCTCAGATCGGCATCCTTACCCCCGCCAAGGGACGAGAGGCGGCCTGGCAGAGCGTCGATATGAGCGGAGACACCACGCTTCCCGAGATGGGTTCGGCACCCACTTTCCCCTGCGCTCAGGGAGAGTACAGCTTCGAGCTCGTTGCCCGCCCCGGTGTCAACATTGGCTGGAATAAGGCCCGTGGAAGTGGTCTCGCTATTGAAGTGAGCTCCGCTTAAAAACAGACATTTGAGCCAACTATCGATCGATTCAATTTTCATTTTGTTTCTAGAGGAAGGGATACTGCATCATAGAGTTTGTTGTACTTCACAAGCTGGCGTATAACCAGAGAAGGGGCGGTTGGGGGTTGCATCATTTGGCGTTTGATCGAGCATAGGATTACGAATGCATAGAACAAATAGAGCATGGGACTGGCAAAGCATGGGATCTGGATACGGGATTGATTTGATAGACAATTTATACATCTCTTGGTTTTTATGCTTGGCTTCTTCGAGATATTGTGAATGCTCCCAGAATTTGACAGTTCAGGCATTGACGGGCACGTTTCCGTTTGCACTCATTCCGTCATAATAACTATGGCTCGTTCCTCCGACGGTGGTTGTCACTGACAACCAAGAGAAGATGAGGCCACATCCGATGAGCCTCTAGACATCCTCTAGCATTCTTTGATCAGGGCTGGCAGAAACATGACAAAGCGTGCCTCTTCCGTAGAAGCATATGCAAGCGGAAGTGCCACCAGGCGGCCCGGTGTTGCAATGAACTTCAGTCTGCCTCATGCCCACGGATGAACTCTTGATGTCAAGGCGCAGAGCAGCCTCACTGTAATATGCGGGCGCAATTTCCTCCCGCGTCTGTACGACGTCAACACGACCAACATGGATATAATTAGCCCTATGAGCTCATCTTGCACGAATTAGGGAGAGGGAGATTTCACAGGTGGACGGACGAACAGCCTAAATGCTGCTGTGCCACACCTACATGATGAATGGAGTCGGACTGGTCACGACCAAGAGTTCCACGGAGTATTAAATGGCAGTTCCTGCCTGACTTCGACTTCGCCTTACCATTCTAACCATCGTACACCACCATATATAGAAGCTTTTCGTTCCCAGTCGTCCCACACCTTCTCTTTCCTTACCTTGGCGGAGATGCCCCGCAACTAGGTAGATAACATGGGCAGGAAGCCGCACATGCGAGTATTTGAACGATCAGAACGCGACACTACATCGTCACCCTCAATATTTATCGTCGCCATCATCGTTGCCTGCGCTCTTGTCCTCGGGTGCTCCGTGTGGGCATGGCGCCTATGGCTGAGACCTTTACTGAAGCGACGGCGAGGACAACGTAGCCAATCCGAGGAGGCGCCGGCCGGGAGCACCCAGAACGCAGCCCATCAGCTGGGGAACAGGGGCGCGGGGGAGCGTTACGTCTATGCATAGATGGATCGAAATGGATGTGAACTTCGGTAATTCAATGGTGGTATGGAGCGTACACAACGTGGAGGGCCGATCGTGGAAATCGTGGAAAAAGGCGGTGACCGCTAATAATTGCTTCCACAACCTAGCTCGTCCCGCCGCCTCCTCACTGAGACATATGCAACTCTCTTGGCGGCACCATTTTCCCTACGTCGCTAGGCCGATGTGGAAAACGTGTCCGGGTTGAAGAAAGCCTGCTGGGGGTCGTGTTGCCGTTTGCGTCTGTTGGGGAGAAGAAGAACAAGTCGCGGAGGGAGAGGAGGGCTGAGGTGGCTATGGTGGATGTGTTCCCAACGCCGGACGAGGCGTTGAGGAGTTACCAGGCTTCCTTCTGGAGGTCACGAATAGACGAAGGGGCCTAGTCGGATACACTAGAGCCTGGAAGTACGGTGACTGCAGAGAAAGATGGTCAAGTGTCACCGTCTCCTAGAAGAACATAAAGAGAGAGAAAAAAGTCGGGAAATGACAAAAAGGCAAAAAGATAGTTGATAATGGTCAGTATGAGGGTCGAACTCATGACCTTGGCATTTACTTGATAAGCCGGATAGCTTATTAGTACCACGCTCTAACCAACTGAGCTAACCGACCTTGGGAATCTAGGTTCCTTGGTGAGGTATATTTTGGCGTTGCCAGTTCTGCCTTGGGCGGTGAGTGCGGAAAGTGGAACATGCCGGTTTGTGTGTGTCCAGAGGTAGAAATGCACAGCCCTATTTGATAACTCATTCATCGTTGCAAGTTACTTAATACTCAAAGTGGAATCAACATTCTTCCATTCATTGGAATTCTATTTGTGATAGCTGGTACACCTCTAGGTTACTATGTCCTCTTTAACTAGCCTCGGTCTCGGGCTTTTTCCCATATGTCACGTAACTGTGTTCATCATTAGTATTCAACACTCAAGTCGTTACATCCATGATTTGACTTACATTTGCCAATAACCATGGTACTTCGGATTCCGCAAATCCTGGCGTACCGCCGAGCAGAACGCCAAGGTCTCATCCTGCATCCATCCCAGGGCCCGCGTAAAGACCGCCAAGCAAAGGCCTTCCAGCCCGCCGTCCATGGCCGTCAACGTCCAGGCACCGAGCTCCTTGAATTTCGGATCTTTGGGCCAGCGGTTGATGGGCCACTTGTAGAGCTTTGTCGTGACGTTTTCGAAACCTGCTTCGGAAAGCCAGCCGGCATATTTGGGAGCTTCATTAAGACTGCGCCCCAGTTTCGCGGCTCCTTCGACCATGAGGTTACACCATCTAACAAGCGCGGAGTCCACGGGAAGGGTTCCGTCGTCGCATAGGACGGGGAAGAGATTGTCGTGAATCTCGAAATAGCCTCCTGGTTCAAGATGGCTACAATGAAGGAGGACCAAAAGGTTTTAGCAGTTAGTAACAAATCCAACGGAGGAAAATGGTGAGCGAACACGACAAGGAGCATCGCGGCTATAATGGTGGGAAATCATACTTGAATGCTTTCTGCATGATCTTCGGCCAGCTAGCAAACGATCCAGCTAAGCTGCGGCAAAAGATCAAGTCGAACCGCCCAGGGCCCCAGGTCCATTCCTTTTCCAGGTCGTCGACCTCGAACGCGCAGTTCGGTGGGGTGCTGAGATATGCGACATTTCGTTAGCTGGTTGTGCGACCGGTGGATTAGGTTCGCAAAGTAACGCTTACAATGTTGGCTGAATAGGACTTAAATCGACGCCAATGACGCGGGCTTCTGGATGTGCATCCGCTATATGTGAGGAAAACGATATGAGCTACAGTTCCAGGCAAAATGAATGGCTTAGAGCATAAACATACCGAAATCTATGGCCCATGCGCCGGTTCCAGTACCCATATCCAGAACACTTTTCGCGTTCTCGTTCTTGGGGCTGAGGCAGAGTTTCCCATCAAAGGTGAGGAGGAGGATGTGGTGCACGATGTCTTCACAGGAATAAGCCACATCCATCCCAGCGAGAAAACGGAAGCTGCGTCACATACCAAGCCGCTCTTGTTCGCCCTTCAAGATGTCAGTCGCTGAAACAATGCGAATGCGTGAACTTCGCCCGAATGCGATTTTGTGCATACCTCATCATTTGGCAGGATATATTCTTCGAGGGTTGGTCAGTTGCAGAGGATTCAATTGATTAGGGCAGCCCATCTACATCTCCAACTTACGTCCCGAGCTCAGGGCATGGTACGTTCGCCCGTTCTCTTCATGGTATTTCAAAATACTAGACCGCAACGATGCCGTTGACTCGATCGGCTGTTGGGCAGAAAGGTTAGATTATTAGCCTCGATCAGCTGAGCAATTCTAGAGGACATCTTACCATATCAATCGCCGAATTGACATCTTCGTCTGCGGCCTATCGAGATTGGTTAGCTGCCGGCAATGTCAGAAGCGGCGAATGTGGTAAAGACACACGATACGGCCTTGAGGTTGCTCCGGCTCGACCATCTTGATTGTTCGGATCTCGATAGCGAAGACAAGAGGGGAAATTCTCAACCTCAAATGAAAGAGCGAGGTGGAGATTCTATTTTAATATACGGACCCAACACCACGGGCGTCCTTGGCAACGCCCACTCGTATGATATAAACGGTTCAATATGCCGTTGTTCCTGTTGGTGGCTGATGACCAACGGGCTGATTGGATCGTTTGTGGAATGCAACCTCGACACGCACGCAATCCTACATGTATGTGCGACCTCACAGATTATTCGAAAGGACAGATTCTCGGCTGTCACAAGGAGCTACCGTGGAGTGGGTGGGAGGAAGAGAGATTTCGAACCCCTTGCGGACAAGGATTGAAGTGTTCGACAGCTGGTGAGGGAGGGGAAATGAAGAGGCGAACGGAAAACGGGCTCGATGAAAAGACAAAGAGAGGACGGCAGTGGGAGCGTATGGACTTTCAAGCGGTCATCTCTTGCGGTTGGGACCGAGATGCGACGCTTGAATGATGGCAGAGATTTGCTGTGCTGTCTGCCACTTAGGGTCCCCTTGATTCGTTGTCCATATGCATATTGCCAGTGTTTGAGCCTGTCGGTGTTTTCTCGTATTGATAAGACCTCTCCAGCACAAAGCTCCCCAAAGTGACGTTCTTGCACAACAGATGCAACGCGCTTAGCATGCTCTTGTGCCATGGCTGAGAGGTTTGCGTCAGAGGCAGACTTGGTAAAAAAAAGCACCAGAGTTGGGATCGATTATTCGCCGTCAAACCTCGTCGTTTTCAAAAACGCCACCGATTGTTCTGCATTGACCCTTACTCCCTCGTTTGGTTGGCCGGAAATAACTGCTCTTCTTCCCATTTCGGGGTTGTCAACATTTAACCCTAACGAAGGTAACGGCAACTCGCTAAGGAGCTAGCTTTGAATTGCCTTTAGGCCCTGCATTCCCAGAAGCACGAGAACGTAAAGGAAGAGGTTGACACACTTCCCGATTCGGAATTATAATATGTCTCTGAAATTTTACCCTCGGCACCGACATCTCGGCCGACAGCACCCCTTCAACTGGTTGTTTCTTCCTTCGGATCCAAGAAAAAACTCCGGAAGAGTCTTTCCATCCGAAGAGGTCAGTCCACTGCTTGGCGAGCCAGGGTCTGCTCCAGAGATCCTTGATTGGATAGTGTTGGATGTTGTCTCGCACGTGGGCCAGCTTGAAGCTTTCAATAGGCTCGACTTGAACTCTTGGCAATGCATGGGGCTTGAAAGCTCAGCCTCCCTCAGCTGAACTTGCTGGATTTATCAATCTCGAAAGTTAATTACTTCCATCACATCTGCAGCGTCCATGGGTAATTGTGTCAGAAGGTGAAAAGCTCGAAAATGGAACAGCAGTCGCAGTATCAGTACCATTACTCTGTCCATGGCGGACAAATGGCGCCCATGGCCACCCACGCCTTTTCATCAGGCAGATGGTGGTCGAAAATGAGTCTCCGTGCCTTGTCAATCGTCTTCAACGTTGCCATCGTCGGATTCTCTGCGTACTACTACACCAAATGGACAGTGGGGGCACTTCTCATGCTGGGTCCTCCGGTAAGCTCACCCTCTCGAGGAGCGTCTTTGGCTGTTTGCACCACTAAACTCCTGTTTTGTGTATTCTTATAGGCAGCTGCTTCTTTTCTATGGGATTGGGTCGATGCCATCTGCCTTTGTGTGCGCCGTGGCCAGTATGGCGTGCATCCTGCTGCTTGTCTCATCGTCGACACTCTCTTGTTTTTTGGCCTAGCTATCATGTCAAGCGTGATCGCCCATACCGTCTCGAAGTTCAGCGACTCTGGGTGGTATTTTGCACTCTTCAAGGATGAGCAGGGCAAGGAATACCTTCAAATTGCGGCCGGCTTTGGCTTCGTGAACGCGTAAGTGGCCTACAGAGCACAAGACATGACCAGGGGCAACATTGGCTTCCATTGGTTCTTTGCCACCCGGAATTAATACTTTTCTATAGAGTCGTGCATTTGGTAATACTCATCATGGCCATTTCCGAGCTCAAAAGTCGGCCTGCTTCCACGCCGCGTATCATCTACGTTCCAGTCGATTCCAACGGCCCCGTCAACCAGCAAACGCAGATGGCACCTTGGTCAGAACAGGCCCCGCCAGCTTACAGTCCTCCAGCAGACCAGCAGGCATCTTCGAGTCAATTTCAAGACCAAATAGAGGTCCTGCAACCAGCCACGATCCCCGCAGCCCTGGAGAAGAAACCATAGTTTAGCTACAACAGCGCATTAGACGGAATGGCCACTTGGGTATACAACAGTGGCTGATGGAAAGAGAAACATATAAATACTTCGGAAACGGATCCTAGATTTCGTTAATCGAAATCCTTGTCTCGATCGAAGGAGGATTCGAAAGCCGCCCATGAACCCGAGTCGCAGATATTATTTGACTCACCCAACGACGGCAAAGGTCATTGCAGTGCCCTAGCCCTTAATATTGAGAGGGGGGAATCTTCTCCCAGTCTTGATCGGGATACTGCAGGTCCGTACCCTGGAGTTAGACCCGAGGGGATGACTTCGGGTGGTTTACATGTTCCTATCCGTGAGGATAGTGAAATCTGATTTGGCATATTACATTTACCAAGAGTCAGGAGTTGATCATCTAGATGGTTAGACAATCTTCATGAAGTAGGGATCTATGAAGTTCCTTCAAGGCATAAATAGAAATCGAGTTTGCATATCTCATAAGTCTTTCGAAGGGCTAGGACCATTCCATACGCGAAACATGTCCTCCCACCAAACACGTCTTCATTTAGATTCCCGTCCCATGCCGCTAGACAATAACCCCTTACTGTTCCCCAGTTTCCTTTGGCTTTTGGCCAAAGACGGAAGCCCTAATTCTCGAGTCAGTAATAATCCCCTAAATCCTGAGGCGTTAAGGAGCCCTCTAAGACACTTACGTCTCGTAGTATGCGTGATTCTTCCGGTTGTGCAGCTCCTTGCGCACCGATGCGAGATAAACTTGTGTCTCCTCCAAGCCCCAGCCATGCACATTGGTGAGCACGTAAAGGGCAAAGCCTTCGAGCCCCTGCTCCGTAGCGATCAGATTATACTGTCCAATTGTCTTCCACTTGGGATCCGCCGGCCACGAGCCCAGCGGCAACTTAATCCTCTTCTCCTGGACATTTTCGAATCCCGCGTCTTTCATCCAGCCGTAGTTATTTCGATCGATAATGACGGAAAACGTCCGGCCCAGCTTCTCGCCAGCCTCGATGAAGATTTTGCCCCATTGATTCCACGGCGAGTCGGACCCAACTGTCCCGTCGTCCGAGACGACGCGCGGATCGTAGTCTTGGTGCTCGAACCAACCGCCCGGCTTGAGGCAGCGGTAGACTTCCTTGTAGAGAGCGGGCCAGTCTTTGATGGAGCCCATCATGAGGCGCATGTGGATGTAGTCGAAGTGGTTGTCGGGGTACGTCCAGGTGAGCTGGGCATCGTCAAGTTCAAATTTGCAGTTGGGAGGGACCCAGAGGGGCTGGGTAGGGGAGATGTCGGTGCCGGTAACTTCGGCGGATGGGAACTGGTCGGCAAAATCTCTGCGACGGGGAAAATGGGGTGGATGTTATTATTATTATCTCTGCTCGTGATCCGGAAAGAACGGAAAGTGGGTGTCTCACATTGCCCAGATACCCGTTCCCGTACCGATATCAATCACTCTCTGCGGGTCATCGCCGATCGGAGCATGGTAGAGCTTGTTATCCATCGCAACGAGGAGCATCTGGTGGCTGGAAATAGCAATTATCAATTATCTATTAGCGCCTAGTCGTCGCTGAACCGTGCCAATCGTGTGGAAGATGTCCTACTTGATATCGAGATGCTCGTTTTGCCTCTCATCGTTGGGGCCCCTAAATTGAAATGAATTTAATCAGCAAAGAGCTCGGGGCGGAATCCAGAAGCTGGCGAGGGAATGAACGAAAACGAGACGAACCAGTATTCGGTGTCGGTGTTGAAGTTGTGGAATGTCCGGCCATGGATCTTGCGGAATTCCAAAATACTTGCCGAGAGTGAAGTGGTGGAACTTGCACTGATCGCCATCATATCATCAGTAGCCATCTTAGCATCACGATGCTGGATCGAATGAGGTTCCTGGCTGTCCTACACGCTTCCTCCTAGCAGGGAATCGCCATCATCATCGGCGCCTTCGTGGCCGGGATCCTGCGTTAAAAGTAAATAACTACATTACGCTGAAAGAAACGCCGACGAGTGTAGAAAAGTCGATCTTACCACCTCGATGTCAGGGGATGCGGCCGGATTCAGCGGGGGAGATTTTGAAGGTGACTTGGTGGGGGATCGAGGAGATGGGCCAGCTGCGGCACCAGCTTCTTCGGCGGTTGAAGCCATGGCGAATGATAAGCACAGGGCAATAAAAGGTAAATTAACAAGGACACTCAGAGCCTATCGCAGAGGTTTCCACCAAAGCAGATCCAATCTGTCGGGACTCGAGGTGAAGATGTTGTGGAACAAACCGCAGTCATTCAAACATTCGGAGTGGGAACAAGCATGGCGGGGATTCAACCTCATCAGGCATGGATACGTCCTTCGTACTTACGAGGTAGCAGTCGCATCGAACGCATGTCGAGTCTGAGCTGAGAAGCATTGTTCGTGGGGGTTCACCGGCTGCAGTGCTTCTTCCGCGGACCAATGGCACGGATAGAATCACTTCGATATTTGCGATGGATGGCACAACGCTAGTCCCTTCGGGGAGACTGGCTTTCCCTGCGGGACCGTACCCGGGTTCACGGGGCTATCCGAAGACGTTAATCAACTAAACGTTTAGAACGTGGGAGGAAATTATTAGTCCAAGGGAGAAGCATGGGGCGTTCCCCCACACTTTGACTGCGATGCCCAATGAGGTCGTTGATGCATACCTGCGAGTTTGAGGGGAATGATGCCATCCTTACAAACTCGATCCGATAGCACGATCCTGCTGGAACAGCGAATGGAAACTGTCACCGCCTCTCCAGAAGCGTGCAGTTGTCTGAGCGCCAAAGATCTTGACCAAGTCCTGAGAGTTCTGACATTCGTATATATATATATACCTCGAAATGCGCTCATACGAGGAAATTTTTATGTGAGTCTTTTTTTTTTTTTTTTTTTTTTTTTTTTTTTTTGTCTTCCAGGTCAGCCTGGATTCCTCGATGCCATGTTTTGTACTCAGTATTTAAGTCATAAAACTAGCGCCGGCAGATGATGTTATAGGCATTTTGGGAGTCCAGTTATTCTGGCGCATAAGACCGACTCTCACACAGCTCAGTCTGAGTTGCCAACCGTAGTCTCTAGTAACTCGAGTAGGTGAAGAGTGGATGACTATTTTCATCTCAGCGTATTCTTCGTTTGTAAACGACCATGAATGGGAAGAAGGCTCGTTGAGGAGTGGGAGGAAAACTACGGTTAGATATTTACAACGAACTTCCAATGTACCAGCCTCCTCTAGGGATATGTTCCGCTAATGTCCGGGAGTCTTTGGCCGCCAGAGCCGGCCGACTAACCTATTGTCATGCTATGGAAGTGGCCGCACGGTTACGTATCCTTATTTTCGCTGCTAAGCATGTAAGGCCGTCGTTCAAGAGTGAATGAATCGGGAAAGTAGGCGAACTGGTTAGTATCTCGTCTCATACTAGACCCAAATCCAAGGCATAATCCAGACTTCTCACGGCCTTACACCCGGGCGTCCTTGAAGCGGGGCACACATTGAGCTGCATGGCAGGGGCATCTGAGGGCTCTCACTGGACCAACAGAGATGTTGAGATTATAACAAGGTCTCGTCAACTTTTCCGAGATTTGAGATGTGGATGGGATCTACTGTGACATTGACCTTCATCAAACACGGAGGCGGCGTGAGAAGAGCCCCCAACGACCCATTCATTGATTAAATATTCCCAAGTCGAGAGCCTAGTTTGTGTCGCCGGAGCCATCGCATCCACAAACTTCTACAGCCAGCGGTTATGAGTACTTTTAACGTGAGTGATTTCAAGGCGTTCTCCCAAATGTCTTTGACACACTTGATTCCTGGGTTGAATTGTATCAGTTGGATCGTGGGCCTGTATGGGGCAGGTGGATGGGTATAGCACAGTTGAGGGTGAACTTGGAGAAGTGTCAGGAGAATCTAGAACCGAGCCTGATGCAGTACATGAATGGGAAAGTGGGAAATAGAGGAGAGCGGTATTTTGATATTTAAAGAGGTGACAGTGATTTGGGTATACCAGTCATTCCTGTTAATTCCTCAGCTGTGTCATTGGGCTCGCTCCGCTATTAGGCTTTGTCTCTGATATTACTTCTCTCTCACCTATTCGGATTCAAACCCAAGGCAGTGATACTCAAACCTGTCTCGCTCGCTCCAAAGACCATCATGCGCCTCACCAACAGTAGCTCAATGAAGTTTGAAGGGTTTTTCGATGGTGCTATGCCTAGGCACGACATTCTTCCCTATACTTGGGGCAACAACGAAATATCTCCCCAGGATCAGCAAGGAGAGCAGAGCAGAGCCGAGCTTTCCGAGGCCATCAATTCTATGTACAAATGGTATGAGAATGCGTTTTACCGCTTCGTCTTCCCGCAGGAGATCGAAGAATCCGACCCCGATGCCGCAGGCTTTGGCGAGAGTCATTAGTTCACACGGAGCTCGGCGTCGCAAGAGCTCGTCTCCCAGAGGGGTGCTGTTCTATAACAAAGACTGGGCTTTTATCGCTCGAAGATCTGACAAGCGACGCGCCATCTCGGATGCGACTGGCATCAAAGATTGGTACTTGGGCCATGATGGACAGCATTGGATGAAGCGAACAAGTGTCGCGGAGAAGATGTCGTGGGCAGCTAGACGACGGGTGCCTCCTGGGTCCCTTTGGAGTTAACATGCCGCTGTTATACGGCGGAGGGGATAGGGAGTTGTATTTATCCGACTCCAGGACGAAATCGTCAAATCACCCAATGACCAGGGCATCTTTGCCTGGCGCTACGAACCCACCGGCGAGGAAAAGAACGGCCACTTCGATTATTGGCATGTTTCACCACGTCGCCGCAACTGTTCGCCCACTGCGCATCCGTCGGCCCCATGGGCAAGACGAAGGACGGCGCCGATTTTGAATACTCCACACTCCCCCACCGGGTGACTAACGTCGGGGTGGAAATGACGGTCGGCCCGGCTCGTCCGCGAGACCATTCGCTATCTTGTCCTGCCAAGTTGATGGGTAGGTGATTGGTTTTCCAATTTCTGGCCTCAAAGAGGCGGGGCTAGAGCATGTCAAGGACGGTGTCTGTATACACCGAATAGTCGCATCGCCTACTCCTCAATTCCCCGCCCTGCAGACGTGGATTTTTGAGGTGGTATGGAGGAGAGCTGTGATTCTCGATGCACTTCCGACTTGGCCTGAGATGCGGAGACATGGTTGAAGAGGACGGTCCCTTCTCCGACCTCACTTGTCGCAGGCAGATAGGCGGAGCATGCCTGAATAATTGACCCCATAACCTCTCTCTCTATCTGCCTCCTCGAGTTTTTTCTTCATATTTTTTTCTTCCTTATTTTAGCTGGTTGATTAGCAGCCTTCGGACCTGCGTGAATAAAATCCCGGAAAAAGAAATTCGCCGTTGTTACAGCGGGCTTGTTGAAATGGCACTCATCTCTAATTATTGTCCAAGGTATTGAACTCCCCAGGATCAGAATCACCCATCCCTAGTCTCAAGAATATGGCGAGAAAGGCTTCGCCTCCTTTCTCGTCGGTGACTCCTGTGCCGCTTGACCGGTCGCCCACTCTGAACCTGCCCACCCATCGCGTGATCCAGTCCAGATCTGGGATCTGACCTGGGGTGCCTGGGGAAACCAGCATCGAACGTTTATTGGCCACGCCAGCACAGTCCGATACTACCGTGGCTAAGTGCCACCGCCTGGCTTTTTGCGGGGTTTCCTGCAAAAAAACTCTCTTCGGCATGGGGTAAATTTGCCTTGGCGGAGGGAAAATAGGGGACGCGGGGAGGTTCGGCAGCACCTTGAGTGGCTTGATCAAATCAAATTGCGGTCTTCCCCACAAGAAATCCCCCCTAAAAAATCTAGGGTTTATTGCCTTGTAGGCGGAGAAGCTCTTTCTGTTGACGTTTTGACTCGGTGACTCGCATTTGTAGTTTATCAACTATCAAGGGAGCTCTACGGCAGATGTCTTAATATAGACAAAAGAGACCGAACAGGACTGGACCGGATGGAACAGGACAGTCGAATTAGGGGGAAAAGAAAACGAAAACCGAAATAATGGATCGAGAAGCGGCTGCCCGGTCGCTTTTGATGACGGGGAGGGCGCGACATGCTTGCGTGAGATGCAAGCGCCAAAAGCTCAAGGTATGATGAGGCCATCGTCGGGACCCTCTCGGCAATAGCATCGCCGCCCGCTCGTCCGTCCGGTTTAGTGAACGTTTCCGGGCTGACCATATTTTCCTTTTTTTCCCCTTCTTTTCTTTTATTTTTAGTGCGATAACCAACGACCGTGTTATCCGTGCATGCGGTCGGGGATGGAATGCAGAGATGACGATAGACGGTAAGCTTAATGGCGATCCATCCACCGGATTCACCTGCAGCATTTCACCTGCAGAAGTTATGTACACAGGACAGCTCGGTAACAATGGGATACAGAGATAATCGGAGATCAAAAACACGGAGTAGCCCCCGCAAAGCAGAACTCAACCGAGAACGATCGCGGACGACGGAGACTGACCGGGACGTCACTGTCTCGTTAGCAGCATCGCCTGCACCGTCACCTGCACCGTTGACTGGACCGGCAACTGCACCACCGGCCAGTTCTCATGGCTCACAACTATATATCGAACGTACCTCGACATTAAGGGTTGTCCAGCAGGTATGTGTAGCTTTGAAACATTAACAAATGCTTAGAAGCGCAGCCTCTAGATCCTTGCTCTGGAGAACTCATGCTCACAGCTCGTTTCTCTAGGTCTACCGAGAGCATCTCGGCAGTGCCACGGCATCAGGTCATCTCGATGCCCTCCCGGACAGTCCCCCCGACAGGGTGCAGCCCACAAACCGCCCCAAGAATGCCGTACCCATCGCCGAGCTCATCGGCGTCGAGCTCCCGCCCGTCCCCATCATCGAGTGCCTGCTCGAGACGTACATAGGGTCCATCCACTGGTATGTGACGCTATTTCACGAACCGACCCTGAGGGCACGTCTCCGATCCCTCCTCGCCTCCGGTAGGGCAAACGCCGACGACTTTTCCTTCCTCATGTTGATCGTCATCATCCTTGGCATGGCGGCGCGGTATGTATCACCCCAGCAGATGAAGCAGCACGGCGTGGAATTCAACGCACTTGCTCTCGAGGCCAAGCTCGTCGCCGCCGCCGAGCAACAGCTTCTCCAGGTCCTCGAGGACCCTACTTCTATGGCTGTTTCGTTCTTGGACTTGCTTGCGTCGCACTACTTGTTTAACCGGAAAGTGAGGCGGGCGTTTGTCATCATGGGTGTTGCCATGAGAGCTGCTCAAGCTATGGACCTGCATAATGAGCCGGCGTGGGGAGACATTCCTGCTGTGGAGAGGGAATGTCGTCGGCGTCTTTGGTGGACGCTCTACACTAGCGAAAAGTATCTTCACACCTTGTTATCTACCACTCCCTCTCCTCCTCATCATCATCCTCGTCATCCTAAGGCTCGTTCACACCACCTCTCTCAGACATCGTACTTACTTGCCGATCTAGGTTTGTCGCGCAATCATATGGCCGACCCGCCGTTATTCAAGACATAGACGTAGAAGTCAGCTTCGCAGACATGGACGACGACTCGTACACACCAATGCCCGTCACATCAAAAGAAATATTCGAAAACGGAACGCAAAAATTCGTCACGGCGAGCTCTTATCATCGATACAAGGCCAGGCTGTATCGGATCGCCGCGCCTATCACCAGAGTCATGCGGAAGGCGAGGACGGTCGCCGAAATTACGAACCAGATCCGGACGGTCCACGCGCAGATGCTCGAATTCAAGCGGGTGTTACCGATGGATTTGAGACTGGAAACGTACGAGGAGAGTAACCTGGACTACAACAAGAAGGGCCTCCGATCGATTCTTCATCTTCAGTCGCTGGCGCTACGAATTTCTTACGATAATATACAAATGCTTCTCCATCGGCCATTGATCTCGATTAAGGATCTAGAGAAGCAGTCTACAGACACGTCTAGTGCTACGCTGGGCAGAAATGGTGGGAGTGGTGGGAGTGGCGGAGGCGGAAGAGGAGGAGTAGGCGGTGGGCAGCAATCGGGTGACCTGAGCAGCGAAATAAGCGAAGACATGATCGCAGCATCGCGACGACAATGCTGGCAATCGGCCCTCCAATTATCGCATCTCAGTCGCCACCGGGGCGCTCTCGAATTCCTCAAGAACACTCCCCTAGGCGCCCACATCGGCATGAACTGCTTCACGGCCGGGGTCATGCTCGCTATTTTCGCGCTATCGAAGCCGTTCACGACGCAGGCGCAGGAGGCAAAGCAGGCTCTCGGTCGGCTCATCCGCATCGGGACGTGGGCGCAGTTGTCGATTGCCTCATTCAATCAGAGCACGGGCATCCTTAAAGACCTGCTGCGATTGATCATGGAGAAGGAACTCAAGGCGTTGACGGAACCGAATGAGCACGAGACGTTTTCGAGTCAATCGCAACAGCAGCAACGCAGACCGATCGGGGAGGACGTTTCGAGGGCCGGAGATAATAATAGCGATGCGGCAAGGGTGCCGACCGAGAATTCAATTAACCCTCATCATGTCGAGGCGCGGGTCGCTTTAATTCATCACGTCGATGCGGTGCAACAAGGGATTCAGCCGCAGCCGGGCGCATTCGGGGGCGGAAGCGGGCAGCAATACGCGTCGGATCCGTTTGGGGGGTTCGTGGACTGGTACGGATCCAGCGCAAATGAGGGGTTTGATGCGGCGCTGTCGTCTCTGCAGAATGGTAAGTTTGTTTCTCTTTGTTTCGTTTCTTCCCTTTCGTCCTTGCTTCCGTCCCATCCCGTCGCTCTTCACTCTTCTCTCTTTCCCTCACACTCTCTCTCCCTCTCTGCCCATTCTCATCCTTCCCATCCTTCCTATCCATTCCGTCTCCTCTCCGTGGAGAAAGACGAAACAAACAACAACAAAAATCACATCAAGCCACGCGCACAAAAGCAGAGAAAACCCCTCTCGTTACCCTGGCTTTTTTTTCTTTTTTCTGTTGGCCTTCCTTTTCTCCGAAAGCCCGAAACGCTCCGCTTTCCCCTATTGTCTCATTTCCCTTCCCCATCCTTTCCTCCACCTTCTCTCCACTTCCTCTCCACACCATCGTCGCCATTTTGTCTTGGCCTTCCCCGTTCCCCGCATTCCGCCGGAACTTCTCCAAACTAACGACGCGAATTCCACCGGAAATAGCCTTTTTGGGAAACGCCAGCAGCTCGGTCCTCGATCTAGAGTACCCTGATTGGCAGCTGATGCTAGACGAGCCACCCACCCCGAGGGGCACGGGGCAGATAGTTGGAGATTGCCAGGACGTTTCCGGTAATTCCGCCGGAACGTGGCACGACCACGAGGTGGAGCAGGACCACATCCAGCTCGACCCTCCCCATCCCCAGACTCGTCCCCATCCTCTTCCCCACGAGGGGCAGATGTAAGGTTTTCTCTGTCAGTTTTTTGGGGGGGGAAACTTAATTACCATTTGTTACCCAAAATAAGTGGGAAAATCTCTTTTCTTCCACCCTTCCCACTCCCTCACCGACCTTGACTGATAATCAAGACATATTAACAGCGTTCCCCCACTGTTTTATTTTGTCACGTCTTTTGTCAATCAGATCAGGTCATCAGTGGAAAGAAGAGTGCATCCAAATAATTGTTCTATTTTCTTTTACTTTTTTCACACACACACGCACACACACACGCACACACGCACACACACCGACACACACACAAAAAGCAATGATGCCTTCCACCCGTCGGAAATCATCCCTCAGGACCTCTGGGGACTCTCAGAAAGAAGTCACCTTCCTCCACTCGCCAGACTTCTCTCCCGCCACTCCAGATCTATCACCTCATTCTCCAGAATCCTCTCCGCCTACGCCGGGTTCCTCTGTTACCGTCACCACTGCTACTTCCGGCCCCTCACCCAAGACACCCACCTTCTCCCCCGCCGAGTCCTACTACGCCCTCCCCGACGAGATCGCCGCCTACGATCCCCTCGCCCACTTCCGCCCTGTGCTCGCCAACCTCAGATTGACTCCCCACGAGGGCAGCTTCCTCGAGACGCTGCTCATGAACCCTCGAGAATGCTACACACAAGAAAAGGTGCAGGAGAACTCTCTGCAAATCCTAGACGACACGTGGTACATCCAAGAGAGGATAGAAAACCCCTCGAGCAGCAAGAAACTCCAGGCAATGGACAGCATGTGGTTCCAATTCCGCGAGAGGCAAGCAAAGACACCCTCCAGCACATTGCAACCCACGCCGAGGATCACACATCGTGTCCCTGAGACTACGGTGACGAGGACGACGACAAAGCCACACCCCGCTCCAGCACCCAGGGAGATGGGACAGAAGACACACGGCTACTCGACACACGCCCTCGACGAGAAGTGGTACCAATTCGACGATCCCTGGTACGTGTATGACACGGACGACGATGAGGAGCACTACATCGCGCCACGCAAGAGGCCCCGCCTGGAACACAAGTTGGGCGTCGTCGAGAATGACACGGGACCATTGGGCATTCTCATGGAGTTTTCCAATCTTGACTCGGCCTTTGAATGTTGGAACAAATAATGCGGGGTTTTTCTATTATGATTATTCTTTAGTTGTGTCCGCGTGTGCATGTCTTTTTTTACTCTTATGTTTATCTTTTTATCCAAAGGGGTTCTAGGTATGGATGTTTATGTTCATTTGGGCAGGACGGTCTTGAGCTAGTTCATGGGGTGACGCAAGGGCTGCGAACCTTCAAATTTGTTCAGTTTTTTGTTTTCTTCACGGCTGCGAAAAGCATTGATGGGGTCTATCTCGTTACGATTGTCAGGCGGCGCTGGTACTGGAGTAATTACTTTTGAATATTGCAAACTATTCCCTCTGACATCAAAGCCCCATTTTCCCGTCCGCTGTGCTCTCCCGTGCCTCTTTGACGACAGGTACTCCCCCAGGGATAATGTTTAACTTCGTAGACGGCTGTCCATGAAACACGACGAGGATGAGCTACGGGAGATGAATGGCACGACCTTGGAAGGATGCATCGGATAAATCGGTCCACTGAATCCTTCCAATTCAATGACGCGATTAACAAGTCCGAGCACACCTGGACCGGCTCTGGCCCTCTTAACTTTAGACGACAATAAGGTTAAGTCATAGATACTACAATGGTTCAATCATGGTGCCACTGAGGCTTTCCAGATCTCATTCTTGCATGGATATATCCACGATGCCCGACGGGCGAGATCACTGAGTCTCCGACAGAATCTAGACATTTCTTTCACTCAAAAAACGATGGCCCCTTGGCGCTTGCCCCCGATCCCATTGTCCATTTTTACGTCACCCCCACGCCTTCTTCCCCGATCGCCTCAACCTTATCCCTCCCCTTATTTTCCCGCCAATACGTTATCAAAACAACAATGGTGGCTGTCATGGTCACACAAATCATAATAGTGAGTCGACATCCCAAGTCCACGAAATATTTCAACATCTTTCCCTAGCAAGGTGGACATTGGGCCTCATGATCGTGCCACAAGCGCAAAATCAATCGTTCACTTTTTGGAGACGCGGCAAGGATATTCGTGAGCTAGCTCACCGTTAAGGAGAGGGCGAAGGAGGCGGGGGCTGTGAAAGAGGGCCGGAAGGGACTCGGAACAGTTGCGGAGAATCAAAGAACGGATGGAAATTAGCATCATGCTCCTTGATTTCCGGTGAGCGTTCGGCCGATGAGGGGAATGGGCTCATTGCTCGACTTGAAGGCAGCCAGAGAAGACCTTTTCGAAGAGGCCCACGCTGTTTCTCACCGAGACACCCCAATCCAAAGAACCCGGCCTTTTACAGTGATGCCATTGTGTCTTATCCCGTGTCATGACGCGAGTCTGCCTCGAACCAGTGGTCTCCACCGCATGTCAACCGACGAAAAATCTTCGACCCTTGTGCCCAAGAAGCCTTGGCCGTCTCTAGCCTACCGACCAAAAGCTCAAGCCCCACGACGATGCAGACCTTCATTAGATATGCAAGAAGTGGGCCATTGTAAAGGGTACAGCATTCTGGTTGACGCGTTGGGCAGCGGGTAGTTCAATGGATCATATCTCTATGGGCTAGAGAAAGAAAAACCATCTGACAGCAGGGCGCTGTGACTATCTGCTAAACTTATACGGCTTCAGAGGGGTTGGGCAGAGGAATTCAGAAGCGGCAATGGCGTCTGAGAATACGGACACTCGCGTCACGACAGCGCAGTGAAGGAAGACCATATCCAGAGCGACAGCATGGGCATTAAGAAGAGGGTTAGGAACTCTAATCAAGGCAAAATGTCGACGGCGGTCCTGGACTATAGTCGGCTCTTCGAGTTATCGTGTTAGGGCGAGATGACTCTAGATATCAGACTTGACTCGCAAAGACGACGAGGTACACGAAGGATAACCACACCTGCCAGACTACGTCGGCCTTTTCTCGGGATCCCCGTTTCTTTATGTGGTGTAAGGGCAGTACCCGCACCATCCAAAGTGGCCCCCCTTCTCGTTATCGCGATGCTAAGACGTACCAAGGCAGCGGCTCCGGTAGAACTTTCTCCACATTCTGCGCCTTCTCGTGCCTGTCACCTGCAGCTTCAACGCTCGGGTTGGCGGTTGGGCTGCAGGATGTTGCCAAAAAGGATCAAAGATGGAAACGCAGAAGATGATGCTTGTGAGAGCAGGAGGTGGAGATGCGAAGGACTTATCCCAACACCAGAACTACCACCATGAGCCTACCCCACCTCTACTCTACGACACCAACTGATTTCCAGTCGTGCAAAAAGAAAAATGGCATACTGCGCAAATTATGGAAGACATCAACGTGATTTCAGATCATCATTCGCAAAGACAGGTATCCATCGCGACAAGTGTCCGCGTGGGGACCAAGACATAAACTTTGTGAACATGGATAGTTTTGCGGGGACCCCAGATATTCATGGGCCCATCTCCGGCTGTGAGTCTGTGTGCCATGTGCGAATGCGGGGATGGCACTTCAAAACAACAAGGGAATGTGGGTGTGGGGAGACTGGGGAGAGCCAGGGACCCCCATGATTGGCAATTTCCGCCGGAATTTTGGAAGATGAATACGACCCTCCAGACCCGCCACTTTGGAGATTCCGCAGGTCCCGGAGACATGATATTTGAGTCGTTTCCATTGGAACAAGGCATTCATAAAAGTGCGACGAGGTGGTCAGACCTTAACCAGGTTTACAGATGCATGATCTGTCTGAATCCTTCGAGACAATTCCTTCTGGTCGCATATTGCCATGATTGGCCGACCAAGTTACTGAAACGAGCAAATTCCGGCGGAAACGCTAAGCATGGGTGGCGACACAAGAAAAGCCGCCGGCAAAGGACACGACACCATCCCCGGAATTCTTTCAGCCAGCCAGAGCCTGGCCTAGCATGAACCTTGTTGGACTCCTTTTATTAGTGCAGTGTCTGGCCCTAGCACTTCAACTACTGCTTGTGGTAATAATCCCCCCAAATGCGAGATTTTGCATGGGAAGACTGCCTGCATCCGTCCTTCGAATGACCTCCACCCCAGCGGCACCTCCTAGTAATAATGCTACCTTCGTATTACCAACTTCATCCCACAAAAATTGGCATTCCCGGCCAGTACTTCGTCCATTAGAGTTTAGCGTCGATCTCGGCATTGAGCCGTTTGTCGTCTGCAAACTGATAGTAGTAGTCCAGACTCTGGGGATTCGCTAGGGTTCCAGATGGCGTAATCTTGAGGCCCGACACGATCTGCTTGACCGGCAACTCTACCTTTTTCATGTTGACCGTCGTCTGCGACCAAGTTAGCAAGAACCCCACATCGGAGAATAGATTTAATCCGAAAAAAAAAGGGTCGAGAAAAGCAAGAAGAAAAAAAAGGAAAAGAAAAAAAAAATAAGAAGTAAAAAAGAAGAGAGTGAGAGACTTACCGGAATCTCTGGCGTCTCAAAGACAAACGCCGGGACATGACGAGGACTCAGATCCGTCCGAATGGCCTGCTTAATATCCCGCACAAGGGATTTCGTAAACTTGTGACCCTCCTTCATGAGCACAAAGAGCAAGACTCTCTCATTACTATCCTGAGGCCGCCTCTGTCCCACGCAGATGCTATCAGCGATGCGATCCGCAAAGTGCGCGTTCAAAACGTTGTAAATCTCCGCCGAGCCAAACCGCACACCGCTCGGGTTCAGCACGCCATCGCTGCGTCCCAAGAAGGTGACTTGCTTCGTATGCGGGTGCACCTGGATAAAATCGCCGTGGGTCCACACGCTCGGGAACCGCGCAAAGTAACTATTGAAATACTTCTCTTGGCCACCGGGTCCGAAGAAACCGATGGGCATGGTAGGGAAAGCGGACACGCACACGAGCTCTCCGGCCTCGCCGTCGGGTAGCGGTTTTCCTTCCGGGTCGAACGCCTGCACGTCCATGCCCAGGCCGCGGTGCTGACATCCACCGGCGTAGAGGGGCATGAGGGGATTCTGCATGGTGAAGCAGGCGGCAATGTCGGTTCCGCCGGAGATGTTTCCGAGGTGGGTGTGGGCCGGGAAGCCGACGTCGTAGAACCATTCGAATAACGCCTCCGGGAGGACCATTCCGGTGCTTACGACGACTTTGAGGTGACTCAAATCCAGCATCTCTCGCGGGATGATTTTCTCCCTTTGTAGCTCCTCTAGATATCTGGGACTTATTCCTAGGTGGGTAATTTTCAAGTCTCCCACGAGGTTTAAGAGGACGCGGGCGTCGGGGAAGAAGGGGCTTCCGTCGTACAGGACAGGGTGGGCTCCGAGGAGGAGCGAAAAAGGTACCTGGACATACATAATCCAACCTGTCGTCGTGTACTGCAGATGAACACTGTTCTCGTCCACGCAGTGGTGCAGCCGGCCCTCCTTGTGCGCCGTCAAGATCAATCCGCCGATTGCATGGACGATGCACTTTGGCGGACCGGTCGTGCCAGAGGAGAAGACAATCAGGGCGGGGTCCGAAAACGAACACTCCTCGAAGAAGGGTTCACCCGAAGTATTCGTCGCATCGGCGATAAAGTTCGACCACGTCTCGCAGCGAGCAATGCCCGACACATTGGCGGGTTGACCAAGGAAGCGCTCCTGCGCGACCACGCCGCGAAACTCCGGGATGGACTTCATACCGTCGATGGTGTCCTTTATCTTTTGCCGCAGGTCGATCTTCTTGCCGTTGTACACGGCCCAGTCGTCGAAGAAGACGTAGGCCGGGCGGATCTGGAGGAGACGGTCGAGGATGCCCTTGATTCCCATGTCCGCGCTGCTGGAGCTGAACAGGGCTCCGAGGGACGTCGCCGCTAGGAACACAGTAAGGGTATCGATAGAGTTGCTGGCAACTAACGCAATTCTGTCGCCCTTCTTGACGCCGCGGGTTTTCATGGCGCTGGCTAAACGAGCGACCCGTTCTCGGAGCTCTCCCCAGGTCAATTGTCGCCTTAGATCGAGATGTCCACCTTCTCGGACCTCGGTGAGGGCCACCTTATCGTCCTCCTTGTGCTTCTTGGTAGCCCTGCCGCTCGCATCTCCGGTGTAGAGTATGTTCTGGGCCAAGTTGAGCTTGACGCCGGGGAACCAGACCGGGTTGGTCTCGATCTTGGCGGACTCATCGACAACCTTTTCGGGCAACACTCCGTGCCATACGAGTGGAAAGGACTCGAAAGTATGTCTCCAGAAGTCGGAGCGGTTTGTGACCGAGTAGGAGTGGAGATCTTCGAAATCCTGTTCATTGTTTTAGATCATTGTCGCTCACATCCCAGCTTTGAGGGGCAGGGAAGGTGATGAAGTATACCTTGAGAGTGACGCCGGCTTTTTGTTCGAGGCTACGCTTGAACTTGAACATTTCCGTCGTCTCTGGCGCTGGGTGCTCCCAGAGCTTGCGCGGTATGGGGGGACTCATGTTGGGGTTGGGGCGGTGTGAGTCAATGACTCAAGATGCAGCTGGGTGACGAGAACGAGGAATCCGCGACAGAGAGGCGTTGCTTCCAGCTTTAGGAGCTTAAGAGAGAGGAAGGGGGAAAGAGAGAGATGGAAAGAGATGGGCCCAATGGCTCTTTTCCAATTAGCTGGCTCGAACAACCATCTCGACGTCGTATCTTCAAAATCTGGGGATCACCGACAACGGAAACGTGAACCTTCTCATTCGCCCGATCCAAACCGAGCGCGGTGCTCCTCTGCATCTGCGGGGCTACCGTGGAACCGGGGAATGCAAAACCCCCGCATTTCGCATCTCACAAGTGCGCAAACATACCTCGGGTCGTGGGCTCGTTATCTCCCTTGAAAGCTTACTTCATTACGTTAGTCTTCGCTCGAATTTCGGAGCAACAGAGCCGGTTTGCAGACCGACCTAGCCGTCCCCACGCACGAGTTCACTAGAGTTACCCGAATTGGGGGTTGCCAAACCAGGGATGCTGGGGAGGAGCTTACTCTGTACTTTCCCCGATTCATACCATCCATAGTGTCGACCCCAGAATTCTGTGGATTGTTACCACGGTAATAAAGGCTAGTTCGGGCCGCGACTCTCCTCGGATCGGAGGTGGGATAAACTGGCTAGTTCGGCACTCTCCAAACTACCAAGGTAAGATGAAGTTGGCAGTCGACTCAACAAGTCCTCAAGAGGGTACAGGGGCCGATGGTCTAGTGGTATGATTCTCGCTTAGGGTTACACCCTCAGCTTGGTTGCGAGAGGTCCCGGGTTCAATCCCCGGTTGGCCCCCATCTTTCCCTTCTTCTCGACATTTTTTTTTTGGTTGTTTGCTTTTGTTCGCTTTTGTTTGGATTTTCATCTGATTTTTATTCCATTCATTTCTCATTTCTTCTATTGTAAATTTATTATTCTCCTCCCGCGCACATTCTAAAAGTATTAAATTCGTCGCCCAAAAGCGAATCAATTGAGCTTTGGAATAGTAACACAAGTTCAAGAGTGGAGAACATCGACAGTCAAATGCTGGATATTGATGGTGTACATGAAACATTCATTCTCTATCTATTATTAAACATGGCTTTTGTACAAGACGCTTTCTTTAAGCAGTATCCAAAACGATAACTTCGGCCTCCGCATCACCGATGCTCTCAATCGCAAGCTTGTCACCAGCATTAACAGCATCGACAAACGCTCCGTCGCCCTCATTCAATTCTGCATCTTCCCTTCCGTCTATCCTAATCTTGGCCGCACCCTTCTTTGTCATGGGCAAGTGCACATAAACCTTCCTCTTCGTCTCCTGCGTCGCATTGCCCCCGACAATCCACTCAAACGACTTGTTCGGCGCAATGATACCGGCCGACATGACAAAGTCGGCGTGGATCGGGATGGTATCGGGGACCGTCGGCACGGCATCCGCTTCCTCCTTATCTGTGGCCTCCGGTCCAGCCTTTAGCGGGCTGAGAATTTTGACGAACCCTTGCCTCTTGGCGTCCTCGTCGAAATGCAAAGTGTGGTATCGCGGCTTGAGACCCTTCTTCCAAGGGATGGCCCAGATCTGAAGGAAATGCACCGTATCAGACTTGTGCTCGTTCATCTCCGAATGCGCAATCCCCGTGCCGCCCGTGGTAAACTGCACGTCGCCACGGTGCATGCGGTAAAACTTGTCGGACTGCCCGCCCTCGTTGCCCTTGGCGAGCATGGAGTCGCGGTGGGTCAGCTCGCCGCCGAGGATGTAGCTGAAGATCTCAAAGTCCCGGTGGGGGTGTGTGGGGAAGCCCGAGTTGGCCTTGACGCGGTCCTCGTTGAGGACGCGGAGGGAGCCGAAGTGGGTGTATCTGGGGTCGTACCAGTTGGCGAAGGAGAAGCTGTGGTAGGTGTTTAGCCAGCCATGGTCGGCGTGGCCCCGGGAGGAGGACCGGTGAGGGGAGATTTTGGCGTGGCGGAGAGACTTGGCCATGTTCCTAGCTGTGTTGATCATTTATCGGGGGTGTATGTGTGTTGTGTTAGATCGAGTCTTGTTTGTGTACTGGGTGATCTTGAAGATTGGAAGAAACAATTAAAGAGCTTGTTCTCGGTCTGGTATGATTGATTGTATTGGTTTTCTAAAAAATCAGAACTCAGAGGAAGGGTCCAAGAGCAGCTCTTATATATTGGAGACTCCCTCCTCTGCGAATCGTCATGATGGGTCTTCCTGATTCCATCACGACAGCACCCGCTGCGATTAGCAAGTTACATAATGCTTCTCAATCTCAGCGTCAGCAGTGTGAAGTACTTCTCCAGTTGTCCAATATGGAGTGATACTAATCATTGTGCTTCGCAGCGGACACATCCAAATTTCTCTGCAAAACTCAGTCATGATTTGGGCAAGCCCTATTTGCAAAGCTGTATTCCAGGCTTAGACGATTATTAGCTAAGTCCGTCATCGAAACGTCAAGACGTAGGACACCATATCCTTCATACGAATCGCATATGTTCATAAGCAAGTTTTCACAATGCAATTAAGAGTCTACTATCGATAAGAATTCTCAATTATAATTGGACGATGCCGGATGACTAAATCTTAGTCCCCACCCACTAAGAATTACGTCACTTCCCACAAATTTGTGATGTTCACAATTATCGAGATTTATGGTGCGGATTTGTCTCTCCTTCGTAAGTTCTTGGTGAGCCTCCCCTGCCATTGAAAGTAATCTGGTCACTAGAGTGTCGGAGACGTCGCTAACGGGACGGGAACTCCCGAAGACCGAAGATGACCGTTGGGCTGAGGCTGATATAGTTTGGCGATGACGATGGGATGGCGAAGGTGGGGAGAGCATAATTTTGTGCAGTTCCAATGGTGGATTTATGTCGGTACAGTACATTTCGTTTTATGCAGCATCCTTTTTGGGGGCGATGGATGTACCTCGGTGCTTTGGTACCACGAAATCCTCAATGACGATCTCAGCATCAGAAACAATGCGAAAAACATATTATCCTCTAAAATAAAGAAATTTCGTTCAATTAGAGTATGGCATATGCCTCAATCGCACCAGGAGTTGCAGCAATTTCCGCTATCGAGGTGGAGTCAGAGGGAGAGCCCAGCCGCTCAGTGAGAGTTTCATCGCATCGGCCTGTTCGATCGACGGAGTTGACAACACAACACACAGCAGAGGATATAATCCAGGTTAGAACGAACACCTGGCACATACGACCATAGCTCGCAGAGAATTGAGGGTCCCGTCCGCTCCCCTGTACACAAGCTGCGAAGCGCCGGACTAGTAGTTGGGTCGGTGACGACCAGCGAATCCCTGGTGTTGTATGTTTTTTCTTTCTTTTTTTTTTTTTTTTCTTCTCTTTCTCACTTCTCTGTCTCCCCCCCTCCTTTTTTCTTCTCCTCTTGCCTCTTACCCGGCTCTATTAGGTACGAATATCAAATATGTCCCCTATGCCGGCGTGTGAGCTATGTGAGTGAGGAGAAGTAGGAGACCCGCAGAGGCAGCTGGATGTAATGGCTATATAAGACCACTCACGGTCAAGTGGTGCGGGTCGCGACATTTAGAGCATCCTTTTGCTGTTATATAGATCAGCTGTAAGTGAGCCAACCATGACGAGACCCCAGAGTCCAAGGCTGCCAAATATAACTGGGTAATGCGTGTCTAAAACTGGGGACCAGCCGAATCCAAATATAAACAACAGTTTCATTATGTGAGTAAAGACGACGAAAGAATGTGCCATGTACAGACAGTAATATAGAAACCAAGTAAGAACTTGGTCAGCCATCCACATTTCCCCTCCAACACCTCAACGCCGGATATCCCCCTACCAGTCCTTGACCAGATATACTACCTTACCCCATAACCAAGTCACCGTGACAAGTCCATTCCCCCCAAATTTTCTGTGGCTTGCACCGTCCTCTCCTCTAGGAGTAATACCTGCCTCACTTCAACAGTACGGATCGTATCATACATCATGCTTCACTATGACAAACTGCGCTCCTCCTGAACGGAGCATCTCCTCTTGCGACTCGCTCGTCGTCGGACACCTCACGCCAGCGTGCTTCCTCTCACTCGAGAGTGAGCTCAACACCACGCTGTTTTTGCGAGGGTCGTTATTGCTGAACTGGTGGTTCCTCGAGTCGTTGCGAGAGCGCTTCGCCGAAGCACGGTTCGTGATGAGAATCTTGAGAGGAGGGAGGCTACCAACAATGACCGCTAAAAGAAGGCAAGTTAATGAAATGAACATTTTTATGTATGCCTTCTTTCCGTGTTCTGCATAGATCAACTCACATATGGAAGCCGCAAGAGTAGACCAAATCATGAGCAACGTCAAGTTGACAAAGTACTGCGGCACGAGGACCTGCTTCGCGCGGATGATGGAAAAGGCAATCATGACGAAGCACAAGCTGAACACGCAGGCAAGCCCGGCCTTTTGCTTCAGAGAAATCTTTTTGACGTTGAAAATCAACTTGAGCGGCATTGCCATGACTGAACCATCTTGTTGTCAGCAAAAGATATCAAAGGCTCTCCTTACTAGTCAACCACTTACTGCAGAGGTCGGTAAAAACATCAATGGCCGTGCTAAAGTAAATGCTCAAATTCGACGCCCACACCTGCTGGGGCCCACCGCACTGCGCAAACTTGAAAAAGTTGTCGATGGGCCCGCACGAGACGCACAGCGTCGTCACGCAGCCAGCGTACGCCAGCACCGTAAACACGGCGAGGACATACCACGCCTTGCGGTAATGCGGCAGTTCCTTGAAGAGCTTGAAGTACAGCGCCAGAAAACTCGCCTTCACAAACCACAGTACGCTCCAGAAAAGTATGATGATGGCGAACTCGTAGCGCAGGTACTCCTCGGTCTGGGACATGAGCTCGGTAGAAATTGGGATGCGACCCTGTATGACGGCCGTGATGTGGTAGAGGCTCGGCAGCTGGATGGTCTCGAGGATGCATAACGTCAGGAGCGTGGCGAGGGCGAGGAAGATGCCGTAGTCGTCGACGGTGAGACGCGTGGCGATCTTGAAGCGGATGATGGTGCGTAAGACGACGAAGAGGAGGGCGGCGCTAAAGGAGGTCCAGACTAGAGCTAGGAGGGAACGGTGAGGCACCGTTCCGACGTTGTCGAGGGGGTCTGCTGCCATGCTTTTTGCCGACGGGTCGTCTTCTGTCTGTGTGCTGAGGTCATGGGTCGAGATGTAGTGGCCGAACGGAGGCGCATGGCGGAACAACTAAAACAGGGGGGTGAGGGGCTTCGAAGCCCCAGGAGGGAAAGGAGACAGAGGGAGATCCGTGCAGTATTATAGACTACGGGTTTGGTGTGCGTGACCGTTGTGATAAGGAGAAAGGTGATGGAGAAATGGCGTTTAAGCAAGGAAGCTCCTAGGAGCCGAGTTGGGTGGGCCATTGGTCCATTGACACAAAAGAAGTCACAATCACACGAATCCTACATTGACCTACTAGGGGAGGCGAAATGGGTCCCCTCTCCTCTGCTTTTGCGCTTCTCCAGTGATGTCGTGCGTCGCGGGATGCATGACTCGCTAGAGATGTATATCCTTGCTGCATCGTTGATGGGGTGTCTTGAGCGGAGAAGAACCACTGCCCGTCGACCCGGCTGTCCAGTGAGGGGAGAACTCCCTTCGGATACGAGGTAGCTGAGAGCGTGGGAATCTCTACGGGCTCTTTCTGCGTATGTTAGAGGCTACAACTGCTATCAATCACATCTCTTCCTTAGATGCCATGGATGTTGGTTCATGCGATAGGTCCGGAGCGGGGGTTCGTAGGCGTTCCATGATATTGCGCGTTCCTGGTATTTCTGCAACTCTTGCATCTTACTGGCTTGACGGCCCGTTGCTTCGAGGGTGATATAGCAGGGGGATGTACGAAGATTCTGGCCAGTCAAAGTCGAGAAGAGCATTTTTTGGATTTGAGCGCAGCAAATCGCCACGACGAAAAATGGACAGCGACGACGGTATTGGTGGTAAAAGAATCAATATTTCCAGGTGAGGGCTATTAACAATAAATTATATAAAAATATGATGTCTCGCAATGTGATAATTTTCTACGGAATCAATGGCATGTTGTTTTTGAGGGAATTGACGAGTGTCGAACCTCTTATTTTGCTGGTCGAATCTCCAAGATCCTTCAATTCGTTCCGACTGTCTCTTTCAGCTCCAGCCTGCCTGCACGCAGTCTTTCTTCCCTCTTGACAGGGTGCCAAACGGGTGTCCTTGTCAACAGTCTCGAATAACAATTCGGACCCTGCAGTCCCTGGCGTCTGGGGTCTGGGATGGAGTCGTTGAATGGATTGAATGGGATGGACAGACCACCCAGGATGGGATGGGAGCGACCTTGGATTAATTGGCATTGATTCGCCCAGTGGAACGCCATGCCCAGCCCCTCTCATCAAAACCCCTCAGCTCAGTGCTGCGGTATTTGGTCGGGGACGAAAGATTTGAACCGGGCGTCACAGGGAAACCGGGGCCAAGAAAAACCCCCGAGGTGAGACACGCATCTTGGGGACAAGGTCTGACTGACAGAAGAGTTTATATAGATCTGATATGCACTCCATTCGATCGGGTCTCATGATTCTTTCCTTCTCGTCTTTTGACCTAGCTTTTCAGGCCGATGGCATCTCCATCCCTACCCCTGCCATTGAGGTTGGGGCCTGACCTGACGGACCCTGGTCGGCCCCAGTGAGAGTGCTGGTCCCGCGCTGCCCTGGTCAATCCAGCCACTGAGTCGAGATCAATCCAGAGGCACTGTCTGTCCCTGAAGCATCTCTGCGGCATTTCCCAATCAGCGCCACATTCGGACAAAAAGAGTTGAGGTCTCTGCAGGCTCAACAAGCTCTAAAAGAACTCGCTGCACGCACTTGACGAAAACTGGGGCAGACGTTCATCCCACTGCACCATCAGACGAGTTTAGTATTAACGTATTGTGCTAGGCAAGCAGTTTCCGCTCTTGGCCAGGCCTCGACCGATCTTCTTCTCGTCCCCTTTCGGTTCCCGTCCCAACCGAGAAAACAACGCCCAACATTGGGCTCGCCCTCACTCCCAACCGACCGTATTCGGGACCCCGCCACGTGGATTTTATTGTTTCCTGTCCTGCGATGAGATCACAACGGTGCCTTGGCCGACACATCCGGTAGTCTGGTTCGCTGGCCAAACAAGCGAGGGTCGTCGGTCAAAGTCCAAGCCGCCAAGGAATCAATTGGACCCAAACCCAATACGACACCAGCCAACGCAAACCGCAGCGAACACGTCATATGGACGGCGCACCATGCGGGATGAGGGCAAAGACTTGCTGACAACACTGGAAAAAGAGGCGGGCTGCGGACAGCATGCAAAAAACATGCAAGGAGCGTGGAATAAGTCCTAGTGCACGATGCATTTCCTTGGGTGAGATGGCACGAATACGGTAAAGACACATCGGACCAAGCTGCGAACTTGGGAGGGCGGTCCTGGATGCGGATTAGTGCTCGCATTCGCGAAAAGCCTTGGATTCCGAGCATTTGAGCCTTTTGCATTTTGAGGACCAGCCACGGACCTGTTGCCGTTGAGCTTTGGGCTGCTGGGGCGTACGATGCTACGACATGGGTCCTTGGATCCATGCATTGTCAAGTCGCCACGTCGCTCGGCCGGTGTTGACCGCAAAATCAATCCTTGTCCGTATCGGCAGAAGCAGGCAATAGTTCACTTTTCTTGTACCATAATTTTTGTTTGGTCCCTTGTAGCATTCGGTATTGAATTCGTGGGGAGGTTGGGACATGACGATAAGAAAAGCTCTTCGTCCCCGTCGAGATGCAGAGACGATTTGTTCTCTCTTCTCTTTCTTCTCCGCATCCGCAATCATGTCCCTTTGAAATTTCCACTTATTTTTCTTCCAAAAGATAAGGAGGGGGGTTTCGAAGGAGAACATACCAATAAACCAAATAAAATTCCGAATCGAGCCATGCGTGCCTTTGATCTCCATTTCCTGAACATCGCCGCCTGCATCCTCCTCCTAGCATCCCTCTTCACCTCCGCCCTCGGCTCGCCGGTCGCCACGCGATCGAGGCGGCCGAAGCCGAAGCCGCGAAAATGCCACGACAAGCACCGCAACTTTAGGACCGTGTCCAGCATCTACAACCTCACCGTCTACCCCAACCAGCTCCCCATACTCGGCCAGGGCGGGGCGGGCGTCCCTCCCGGCCTCTTCAATCAAGACGTGGTCGGGAGGGTCGATCCGGTGGGCGATTTCGAAGGCTTCGAGCATTCCATCGAGTACTTTTTCGCTTTGGCCCCGGTGCCGAGCGGGAATGCTGCCAAGGCCGCCATCACGAGTTATAAGATTACCGAATTTAGCTCGGGGTGTCGGGATGTGGCGGCTTCGGTCGTGTACTTGTACTGCAGCGTCGTGGATCCCGGAGGACCGGATCATGGAAAGGAACTTGCCCCATTGAAGCAGGTGAGCAGAGCCCACATTTCGAGCAAACCTAGTCCCTCCTCGCCGAAGCTTACTTCTGGAAATATATCGACTAATACTTCGTCAGGTGGCATTTTGGAAATTTGACGACGAAGGCGCCGTCCTCAAGTACGACGCCTGGATCCCCAACCTCGACGACTGGGTCGAGGCTATCACAGGCTCCCCAACCAACTCGCAATACCAAGCGCAGACTATCCAGCAAATCTGCGGAGCCACCCAATTCACCTGTACCGGCAATAATACGCAATGGTCCAGCGTCGAAGAGTGCATTGTCGCCTTGTCCCAAAAACCATTCGGCACATACGACAAGGCGTGGGGCGATAACATTGTCTGCCGAACTATCCATCTCGTACTCACCCAAGTGAGGCCCGACGTAAGTTAACTTCCTCCGTCTGATAAATACCGATGCAAATTGAGGTTGCTGACAGTCTGAAAAACAGGTGCATTGTCCGCATGTCGGGCCTACTGGCGGTGGCAAGTGCGTAAACGTTGAATATCCCAACGACTTCTTCACCGACGAGTCCTTATACGGCGACCCCGTCGGAGAGACATTCTTTTGTCCTTAGGAAACCTAGGGGCGACAATTTCCTTCTACTATTTTTCTCTTCTTTTCTAGCGGGCGGCGTACTTGATTTTTTTTCGAGCATTATGACTTGACTAGCTTCGACGGCCATCGCGGGCTTTTTAGGGAGGCCGGCAGCGTCTCTTTGTTTTTTTTCCTTTGATGTTTCTTACGATCCCTATGGGTATGACGCCTGCGACGATTTAATGACTGAAAAATGATGTAGAGCTACACGCATCCACGCGATCTTTCATTTGTTAAATGAAAATAATAACAAATTCATGGCTCGAAGGCAATGTTCCAGATGCAATACTTGACGTGAAGTGATGATCACCGGAACATACCGGATGAACGAGTGAACCGACGTCCAAAAACCGCCGTCCAAACCTGGTTAGCATCCGATTCTTGCATTGAAAATCAATTCAAGAAGCGGTAAGATGGCCGAGCGGTCTAAGGCGCCAGGTTAAGGTTACCTTAACAGTAAATTCCTGGTCCAGGAAACTGGGCGTGAGTTCGAATCTCACTCTTATCATTAGTTCATTTTTTTTTCCTCTCTTCCCTTTCCTCTGCCTTTTTTGCTCCTTTTGCACGGCTTCCAACTTACCCTGAGATGTCTTGCTCGCTTCGTCTCGAGGCTTTCTTTTCTCCAACAAACAACGCGTCAAACGTCATTGATGCTCCCCTTCGTAAAATTTTTTTTTGGTTTACTTGTACTTATGCTTGTACTTGTAGCCATGTAGAAAGTTGGATCAACTCATAAGGGATTACATCGTACAGACTAGGAGTTCTGATATCAAGATGAACCGGGTGCCGGCTAAGCAGAATATCACGGCAGTATGTTGGTTGATGTTGATGTGCAAGAGAATTGCTTTGGTGAGAGAAGATACTTGGTCGACTCCTGACCGTTATGGGCTGTCTTCCAAGATCATAAGGCTCGACGGAAACCACATTCTTAACCGTTTCGGGCGGCTAATTGGAGGAAGCGCCTTATACATCTGTTTGGTATCGATGGATTCGACTATCCTTGATTTGGGGCTCGTGACCCGACATGGAAAGAGTCCAAACCACCAGCGAGGAGGGACGCTAGGGCGTGTGGTCCTGGTTGTCCCGATTGGGTTTTTTCACTCTTCGGAGTTCGTAATACGCAAGAAGAGACTTCTCGCTGCCTTTGTTATCGGCCCCGAAAATTCGGCCGGGGACAGTCTCTGAATGCTCGAGCACATTAACAAGATGAGGTTGCGGCGCTGAGCCCGATCCAGAATATCCTCTCAGCTCTGAAGCGATTCTTGGGCATTAGGAACTAAAGCCAACCAATCATCGAGCATCGCATTCGTTACCTAACTTAAAGCAGCCTCCCGCGCTCGGACATCGCAACCTGAATCTGAGTGGCGCAGTTTCCCGTGATTTCAGCTCCTCAACATTCCTGGACCTTTGTGAAGGGAGAATATTGGTTCCTAGGCGATACCGGCAAGCAAGCAATCTTCTTTTTTTCTCATCCCCGAAGCGTACGTCGCGCCGTCCATACGATGGCAAGATTGGAGAGTTTATCGGACGATGTTATCCTCTACATGATCGAGTGCTTCGAATACGAAAGAGACCTCAATTCTTTCTCGCAAACGAACAAGCGCTTCTACAGCCTCACCAATCCATATCTCTACAAACGTGACTTCCAGAAGCGGGACTTCACGGCTCTCACATGGGCACTTGAATTTGACCTCGTTGGTACGGCGCGAAAGGTCCTCGCCGCAGGCGCCCATGAGCTCCTCCAGGCGCATGCTCCTCACTGGCCAATGCTCCCCATTGTCCAAGCGGCAATGTGGGGCTCGGTCGAAGTGATGAAGGTCTTTCTGGAAACCGACGGAGTCGATCCCAACTTGGTGGACTGGGAGGGTTGTTCGGCGATTGCCGCAGCCGCGCGCAAAGGCCACGCCGAGATCATCAAGCTGCTCCTCGCCGACCCGAGGGTCGATCCTGGAATTCGCAATGAGGACGGTAAGACGCCGTTGGTTATTGCCATCTCAGACTCGGAGTCAGAGGAGTCTTGTGACAAAATAGTGAAGTTGCTTCTCCAAGATGCGCGGGTCGATCCGACTGTCGCTACCCGCCGCGGCGTCACACCTTTGATCTGCGCTATGACGTGCACGGAGAAGAACGAAGCCCTCGCGAGGCTACTGTTGGCCGATCCGCGTGTTGACCCCAACGTCGGCGATGATGAGGGCTGTACACCTTTGATGTGGGGCGTGCGGTACCCCGGTGATAAAGTGGGCGTCATTCAGCTGCTTCTAGCCGATTCACGAGTTAAACTAGATGCCGTCGATCAAAGAGGGAGGTCGGCGATGCACTGGGCCGCGTGTGCCGGCTATGCTCGGAATATCCAGGCATTACTTGATGCTGGTGGAAGTGTTACTGACGGAGAGACCAGTACCGGCTTGACCCCTTTGGCTCTCGCAGTGCAGTCAGAAAAGGTGGACGCTGTCAAGTTACTCCTCAATGTTCCAGAAGCCGACCCAAACGCACTGGACCTCTCGGGCCGCACACCACTCATGCACTCGACGGACTGGGAGCTCCCGGAAATGACCCGGGTACTGATCGCCGATGACCGAATCCTCCCCAACATAGTGGATAACTCTGGCGTCACGGCCCTGGGCTATGCCTGCGCCTCAGGTGACCTTGAGTGCGTGGAAGCGCTTCTAGCACACAAGGATCTCGATCCTAATACCAACTCGCGTAATAAGATTCCTGCCTTGTGCTATGCAGCCTCCGACGGCCAGTACGAGATTGCCAAGAGGCTGGTTGAGGATCCGCGGCTCGATGGGGACAAGGCGGTTGATGACCAGAAGTGGACGCCGGTGCACTACGCCGCGGCGAACGGCTACGGGGACATTATCAAGTTGTTGTACGATAGCGGCCGCTTTCGCATCGACAGCTTAGACGCTGACGGGCGGAATGCGTTGTCCTTTGCGGCGGAAATGGGAACGGAGAGTGTGGTGAAACTGCTGGTGAAGATATATAAGGAAATTGGAGGGATTCCTTGGAACGTACCTGATAATGACGGCCAAACTCCCGAATCGTACGCCGAGGATGGCGGGTTCGATGATGTGGCGGCCATCATAGCTAGTGGAGAGTGCCCGTCGGACGAGGAGATGGAATCATAGTTGGAAATGAAGTAGGACGGATATAGATGGAGTCGGGCCAATATTGCAACGAGATCTACGCAAACACTGGAAATCAAAAGAAGGGGAAAGGAAATCGAACGTGGACTTTGAACTGCTTCAATGGACATTGATCTCGTGTTTATTTTATTTGCAGCGCTTATCAACCAAAGAATTTCGCTATTGCATCTCTCAAAATTGTCTACGGGATATTCGTCCTCAGCGTCACCGTCTTTCCACCCCTTCCAACGAAGCCCCAACCAATCTGATGCGCCAGCTGCACGGAAGTCTGGAGCTCGTCGGCCCACTGCCAAACAAGACCAGGGTTCTTCTGGAACATACGACCGGAACCGACGAGGTCGACGGGCGTGTCGTTCTCATCCTTGCCTCCGACAATCAACTCCTCGGCCAAGGTACCTGTGGCGATGTTGCCAACAGTGCTGACGAGCATCTTGTCGCCGACTGCTTTCTTGATGGCCTTGGCGAAGGGGGCCTGGTAGCCGGGACCGCCCTTGACCTTTTGCAGAGCGCTGTTTCCACCAGTGGAGACGTCAAGAACGTCGACTCCGCGCTCGGCGAACAACTTGGCTAGTTCGATGCTCTGGTCGAGGGTCCAGCTCTCACCCTCGTACTGGGGGTTCGTGTCAAGCCACTCGGTAGCGCTGATGCGGACGAAAAGAGGCATATCGTCGGGCATCACGGCTCGGACGGCCTCAACAAGCTCGAGGGCTAGACGGGAGCGGTTCTCGAAGCTACCTCCGTACTTGTCCGTTCGCTTGTTACTTGCTGGCGAAAGGAAGCTAGAAACGAGATACCCGTGAGCGAAATGCAGCTCAATGACATCAAACCCAGCAGCGATGGCACGCTTAGCACCCAGGACGAAATCCTCCTTGAGTTGCTCGATCTCCGCAATCGTCATGGCGCGGGGCGTCGGGAACCCCTCGGAGAAGCGGATATCCGAAGGTCCGTAGACGTTGTCGGGCCAGCCGCCGGCTTCCTTGGTGGCGGTCGACGCCCAGCCCATCCAGGGGGCGACGGTGGAGGCCTTGCGACCGGCGTGGGCGAGCTGGATGGCAATGAGGCCGTTTTGGCTGTGGGCGAATTCGACGTGTTTCCTGAGGCCGTCTACGTGGGCGTCGAGCCAGATGCCGGAGTCCTCTGGGGTGATTCGGCCGTTGGCCTGGACAGCAGTGGCTTCTATCATCACGAGGCCGGGCTGATGACATCAAGTTAGCTCACGGCATCTTGATCATAGCCGGAACTACGACTTACTCCACGCTGAGCCATCCCGCCGTAATGAGTGGTATGCCACAAAGTGTGGAACCCCTCATGGGCGCTGTACTGGCACATGGGGCTCACCCATATACGGTTCTGCATGGTGATGCCCCGGATCTTGAGCGGGGTGAAGACCTTGGGGATGGGTTTTCCCGAGGGTTGGGGGTCCACGGCCGTGCCCGAGGGAGGGTTCTGCTCGGGCGTGAAGAAAGGCACTCCCTTGGCGGGAACATTAAAGATGGTTTCTGGGTCTTTCTTGTCGCTTTCGGCGGTGGTCTGTTGGCGAGTGACCGGGACGGCGGGGTCCAGCTGGTCTCGTTTCCTGGAGTCGGCCGTCATGATGAAGCTGGATTTTGCTAGGTTCCTGGGTAGAAATTAGGTAGTAGATGGGGTGGTGAACTCGTTATCTCGAATGGTAACGATAATTCAAAACAAATTATTCTAGAAGATCTAGAAGGCATTCGCGAAAAAGTTAGTCTTGAGGCTACTGTTTTATATTTTATATCCTCGCTATTCTATTGATTTATAAGCACGTTTTAGATTATAATTGTCTTCCCGATTGTGGTTGTATTGTTAAGGATCCGGTGGATCTTGAGTGGATCAAAGCGGCATTTGCCCTGCAACTCTAAGGTGTAACTATCGCCTCTGCAACTGCGAGATCTATCATAGTCCGGCGTCATCTAGCATAGTCCCATCAAGGTGCCAAGTCCGGCGCCGCTGCGGATCCGACCGATAGATTTGAAATTGAGCAATGCCGCCCGCAAACTATAGGGCCTTAGACATTGGTTGTCAGGCTCCTTTTCTGCCAGTCTCCCACCCCCCGCCTTTTCCCCTCGCTCTTGTCTTCTCAGATCCCACTGTGGCCCTCGGGATCTCGCTGAACCTCGGTCCCCTGGTAATTTTCGATCCACACCGTTTCTCTGGAAGACCTTCTGCTTGTGTTGGGGAAAGATTTGGTTATCGTACGATTGGCGGTGTCGATGGGGTGAACAGATACGACTCGCACTCCGTCGGGCGCATAATTCGCCGAATGCTTAAAAATGTGACGTCTACATCAGATGTGCCATGTGGGACGGACGCTATCTAGATTAGAGTTTTTTTAATCTACATTAGAAATCGAGATCGGATCCGCCTTTTTAGTCTTATTCTAAATTCACCTTCTCTGGGTACTGCAGGCAATTCCCTCATTGCTTACCAGGCATTTCCAGGGAAACTCACCGACGGGCATTCCGACCCCCAATGGACCCGAAATGTGTGCATGACGTATTGATACTTCTGAACACCAAGTACCTGGCACCCCTGGTCCCCCTGACGCCACCCATGCGCTAGTTTAGCTCAATCGTAAAGGAGGGGAACATTCCGCCAAGGCCAGTGCCGCTGATGGGTGTCGTCCACAGGGCATGGGCCAACACTGCGTGCTGCTGGTGGATGAAGTACGAAGTAGGACTAATCGTTGGACAAGTCACGGGATGGCTTTGACATCCGCGAATTGGCGGAGGTATTTATCTCCATCACCTTGGGTAAGCTGGCTGACAGACTGAGGGCAAATCAGATCGAGCTGGGAAGTAGTGTCGGGGAGATCTGGTCTCAGAGGAGAGACACCGCTGACAGGATCGTCATATCCGTAGTGGGGATCTAGGTGACTTTCGTATGGAGTTAAATAGATGTACAAGACAGACGCAGAATATTCCGGGAACTACTGCCGCCACATACTTCAGCCATCCATAGTCTCCTTGTGGCATATTGAGAATCACGCAAAAAAAGCGTATTCCACGATGGCTATATGACGCCTAAAGGCACCTTGCACCACGAAAAAGAATCCTCAAGCCCAAGACGAGAGTACAGGGAGAAGACGGGGGTCTGGAGCTACCACACAAATAAAGAAAGTGCTGCTGAGCAAGCCTAGTTAGTTGAGATATCTCTTTGTTCCGTCTTGGGATAGTCGTTAACATCGACTTTAGCTATCGGTTCCAGACGGGAAGACACCTACGCTGCATCTACTTCGCCCCTACAGGCTGTAGCACTCGCCAATCCCGGCTCGCGGGGTGGACTACATGCAGGGTGAGGTCGTTGGGCATCAATGCGGCGAACCGGTTCTTCCCCCATTCCTGGTGTTCTTCATGTAGAGTAAAGAGGAGTAGGCGTCTGTGGGCTTTGTGGTGTCATCTATAGGGCTGGAAATTCTGTATTGCCCAGCCCTCCTAGTCTTTATCCAGTTTCCCTTGCTTTTCCTTCCTAACATTAGGGATTTTTAATCTCATCGCTAGACATGGATAAACACGGCTCTGTCAATTTCCTCTCTCGGAGTGATCTTCGCGGGCACTCTGTATCCGGCTGCCCCGGACAATAACATCTAGTTCGTACTAGAGCAGGCCAGAAGAATAACCTGCTCGTTGATTATTGAACGTGGCGCCTATCGCGTGACTGGGAATTCGAGGTCTAGTTGGCTTTGGGCTTGCAGGTGGCTAACTGAGAACCGGGATCGGTGAGTCTTGACGATCTAAGTGTAATAAATACATGCACCATCCTGATTCTTGACGGTTTTGTGCCAATAGTTCGTCGGCGACGCAGCAATAGTTCTAGGCAAGGCGTGCGACCGTGCCGATTCGCGTTTTATGTCCATATTTAGCATTGCTCCTGCAATTCCTTATGAACTTAGCCAGCTCTCTCGCTCGCACTGACCCCATAATTCCCCCACGATTCTCGAGAAACCCAGCCAGCCACATGTCTATTTCGAGGATCATCGTCGAGTCCCATCAAGCTCTAGACCTCTGCGATGTGTGTTTTCATGGATGGATAAAGAGACCATAGCCGCGCGGTTTCCAGACGCTGGAGGGATCTGGGTTTATATGTACATCATTCTCAATTGGAGCCGTCGGAATTGAATCCTTCTGACAAAGCCTGCGGCAAGCCGCAAACGAGAGAAAACGGAACACATCATGGACTACGACCACTACATCCAGGAGCTCACCTCGGACTCGGTCCCCCAAGACCGCGCCGAGAGGGTCATCGCAGAGGCCGTCTGGGCTTATATGAACCGGCTTGCCGACAATGCCTGCGACCTTTACGAACAGAGACTGAAACAGCGGTGCCAGGACCAGGGGCAGGTTTACAGCGCCAATAGGCAACCGCGAGAGAACTTTCCTCTCGAGTTGTTCACCAAGAACATCAAGACCAACAAGCTTGACGCTGCTAAGTGGAATGCGACCATCCAGGACTACCTCGCCAGCCATATGCCAGAAGGCATGTCTCCTCCAGATCCAAATGAGGAGCAAGACATTTTGAACTGCCTTCGTGTCGCCGACCAACAGATCAATGCAGCGTTTCCTGATGAGAAAAACCAGGGCACTTCGTCTCATCGTCATGACGACAAGCTTCCTGACCACGAGCTCTTCGCTCCGGCCATACCATTTATCTACTACGTTGCGTCGGCAGCAGCAATGGCAGTGATGACCACTGCGGGTCTAACTCTTAGCACTCATCTGCGAAGAAAACGGGGGCCCGAGAATATACCTCGTATTCCCTTTGACTGGGACAGTTCCCAGGGACCAGGAGACAGCACGGTTGCGATTGTAGGTCCCTGGACAGGCACTGGAGGTAGTGGAGGGCATCCGCCTTCGCCGCCTCCACCGGCGCCTATCCCGGACATGATCCCGGACCGGCGACGGAAGAGAGAGAGGCGCGAGAAGAAGAAGAGGAGGCAGGGGGACAAAGACAAGCGCCGAAAGGATCGCAAGGACTACTACTTCGGCTACGTCGACCGAGTTGAGCCAGCTGGGGCGGGATACGAGATTCGCGTCGAGGCGATCGCGGAGAACTCGCTGTCGGATGAGGTCTTCATGCGCGAGCTCGAGAAACTCGCCGTGGCAGCTGGCGGCAACCCCGGGTTCGGCCGTTACCGTCTTGCACTTATCTCCATCTATGTTCACAGCGTTCCGCCGGCCGTTGAGGTGGGAAAGTGGATCAATTTCAAAGTGGAGACGAAGAACAAGACGCTTGCGACGACTGATAGCCCCGACGTCTCCGGCGCTTTTACGGACGGAGTCAGTCTTCTGGAGGCGCTGGAGCCCAGATTCAGCATCGTCAACATGAGGATAGAGTGCTATTTTGCGAATAATGATGGTTTTGTTGTCCAGACAGACGTCAACACAATCACCAAGGACATCACAGCTAACGCTTTTGCCATTTTGCAGGCTGGCTTCAGTACTTTCAACTTCGTTACGGAGGCCATCAAAAACTTACTGGACATGTTCATGAATAAGGACAAGAAGGAGGACGAAGAGCCATCAGATTCTGGGGTGAACCCATCCCGTTTCCGTTCGAGATCTCGTCACGGACAACATGCTAGCTAGATTGAAGAAGCCTAGGCAACCCATCAAGGTCAAGGAAGTTGTCTAGAAAGATGCGAACACTGCCCAAATCAAGAAGGTCCTCTTTCGTTCTGGAAAGCAGGCAACAAAGTACAACGTTTATGATGTGGGACAAGGTAACAAACCAACTCTTCCACCCATTTCGCGTCAACGAAGCGCTAATCAAGAGTGCACCGCTTCACAGGTCACAGCGGACGAGTCTTTAATAGTGACCTCACGGAGATGTTTGCCAATGACTTCGGATACGGGAGGGTTGGCACACGCAAGGCGACCGTGTGCTCCCACATGATCAAGGGCCAAGGCCGCGTGCCAATCCTTCTCTCCCACTGGGACGCGGACCATTTCCGTATTGCCAAGAGTTTCGTTGCGAAATATTACTCCGGCTCGGCCGACGACGTCACCTACCGTACCTGGGTGGCACCCGGCGGCGACCACATCCAAGGACCGGTCACCCACGAGCTGGCCTGGAACATCGAGCACCACAAGAAGCTTTTACAATGGCCGAGTGACATCGAGAGCCTCGAGGTCGGCAATGTCGGCATCGTCAATTGTGAGCGCAATTACCAGTACCAGATGCCGGACAAGAACAACTACGGCGCGCTGGCGCTCGTTATCGGCCGCGGAAATGAGATTTTGATTTATCCCGGTGACGCCAACTACGAGTCAATCCCAGGCATTTCGGACTGGAACCACAAAGTGAGCACATTGATTGCGACACATCACGGCAGCACGGTCGCCCTCCAAGGGCCTCGAGGCTCAGTTGGCGAGAGCATCCCTATCGCGAGTTCCGACCAGTCGTACGCTCTCTTTTCGTACGCTCAGGGCAACACATACGGCCACGACATAAAGACGGCATCCAAGTATTACGCGAATGCGGGCTACAAATTGGTCGACGCCACGGCGGCGCTCAAACCCCAGGAAGATACCTTTGAGATCACCAATTTTGGTGGGGATTTTTTGTCGGACAATTTTCTCCGGGCCTCGCCGGAGAACGAGCCTACGAAATCCAACCGGCCTGTGGCGGCGGCGACAGGCGGCCGGGAGATTCTGCCGGGGCTGCAGGCAACGTCGATGCCCCAGCCTCAGCCAGATTGGGCCAACTCGACGCAGAAGCAACCTCCGGTGCAGTTGAGTGACGAAAATAGTGCCAAGCAATTCCCAGCCCAGCTTACTCTCGGCAGCATCCCGGGCGGGGCGGCACCGGGGCCGGGCCAAGATGATCTCCTGAAGTATGCCACCCGAGACGAGGACGGGGATATTGTTATATACGACATCATGGCAACAAAGATCGTCCTCGAGAGACTCCCGCTCTGCGTCCCGTGCAATACCGACTATCCGGTCACGGTCCAGATTAGCTGTCGCGACCTTGAGATTCGTGGCGTCCAACCGCAGGACGGCTTCGTGCCGCTAGTGCGCTTCGACGTCGCTAACGGCTCCGAGTGGGTCCAAGGAGCCGACGCAGGCCAAGATGGCGAGCCGGGTAACCCGGGCTTTGCGGGGGGTCGCGTACGTCTCGCCGTTGCGGGAGAGTGGACCCGCACAGGCTCAGGAGGCTCTTCTCCCATTCGGGGCTTCACTATCCAGTACCGTGAGGGGTGGGGTAGCAGCGGACAAAATGGCGGAAACGGGCTGCCGGGTAGCAATGGAGTCAACGGCGGCGTCATGGCCATCGGCCCCACAGGCAAGGTGTCTTATAGCAGTGACAGACCGAAGGCGGGTGGCAACGGCGGCAACGGCGGTAGGGGAGGCGACGCTGGGGCGCCGGGGACGATTGCGGACTCGGAGGTCCTAGCTGTCAGCAGTAAATGGCCAGGTTGGGAGGTGATCATTGATACCGGGACCCCAGGGACGCAAAGCGAGTATGGGAAGGCCGGGACTGCTGGAAAAGGTATGTAGCTCTCCCTTGCCGGCTTCTATGTTGTCCATTTAGATTTCAGACTGACAACTTCCTTCTTCACCGCTCTCGCAGGAGGAACTGGCGGCCCGGGAGGTACAGGTAGCAAGTACACCTTGGCGTACACCGATAGCCATGGTAGAATGACGGGCTCAAATCTCGAAGAGGCTGCCATGGCTGATGGCGCGCATGGGCGGAATGGCGAGGATGGGAAGGAATTTGGCCGATCTGCGGCCCAGTCCAAGAAGGCGAGGGTGAATCTGAAGATGGTTGCGACGGAGGACGACATGCTTGATCAGATGGCACCTGCGGACTGGAGATTCTATTCGGATTAAGGAACGGTTGGATGCCGAGGGCGGATACCGCGGTGTGGCTCCCGGAAAGTGATATCAGGAATGTAGGCTGGATAAATGTTAGCTTGTGGTCCACACGAGATGAGGTCGATGTCCATACCGGTCCTTAGGTCGCTGCTTAACCGAATTCAACCAGTATAGCATATTCTAGTTCACGTACAATCCTGATCTTCTTTATTAAAATGGTGCCTCCTGAGAGCTTTCAAGTTATGGTCTATATTACTCATTACTAGATATAAAAACAACCAAGGAACCATCCCCAATGCCGTCTCAGGCATTCTTCCAGGACCCATTGTCTTGTTCGACTTCGACTTGAAATGTAGTTGTGATAATAACCTTGTTGCCGGATACTGGTGGGCTGTCCAGGGCCTCAACAGCGACGTTACTCTGAAATTCGGGGCCGTGTTTCGTAACAATCATTTCCTCGCTCGAGTTATTATGCCCAGGCATCGTTTCGGCTGTTTTCCGCCCAGAAAGGGTCTGCAGCATGTGCGAGGGATCTCTGCTGCTCGAGTGGAGATATGTATGACCAGACGGTCTGGTGCTGCTGCCGCCAGACCTACTTCCCTTGAGCCAACGTGACCTGGTGAAGAGTGGTTTGATTGCGGGCGCATTAACGGCGATGATTCCAACGAACTATCACAAACAGCCAGGTTAGTATCCGGTCAAGGAAAGCACCGTAGGAAGTGGGAAGACAGCGTGCTATCAAAGAAAGGATGGAGCATTAAGATAAAGGTGGGAGAGGCATGTCGACTGACCGTTTCCCGAATTCCCCAGATGGTACTGGTACCGATGCCTTCAATGTCTTTAATCGACTCGATGCAGTGAAGCAGTGTAGCAACCATGATAAAGACGCCGGAACATAGTAACACACCGATTGCGATCTTTCGGGGAAGGATAAGGTTGACCTTCCATAGCAGCGGGAGCGGAATGTAAACGATGAGTATATCTGTGCTGTGCGGAGCGTTAATGCGTTTCCAGACGGAGCAGTGTATCGTTATGATCGATTGAGGACTAACAAGACGTTGAGGGCCGCAACAGTCAAGTAAACTGGGACAGCGAGTGCACATGTGTCTTGATATGGAGTTAGCACGCACACGCACACACATATAGTACCGCCGAAGATTCTTAACCAAGAGTCTAGGACTGCCGCGGGGAAGAGGACATTACCTCCAGGATAGGGTATAATCTGCCATTTCTTAAGGATCGGCGTGCAATGGCCGAAAACGACGGCTATTACAGCAACGTATGTCATGGCGCATGCGAGGCCAGCCCACTTGATGAATTTCTGTTGTTTTAGGCCCAGGCTATCTCCCAAGTTAGCAATATGTTCGTGTCGTACACTCGCCTCGGCGCCCAACGTACGTGATACGGTTGAAGAAAAACAGCATGCATCCTTTGAGACTCCAGATGAGCGAGACATAAGCCACCCATCCCGCCAGCAGGACCTTGGAGCCGAATTCGCGCTTGGAAATTTCCTCGTCCGACAAGGTTGCGGCGATTTCATCGTTCAGTCCGACGTTCGTGCCGTTCTGGCCTGCGAAACGAGGTCGTTAGAATGGCATATGAAATACTTCGTATTCTTGCGTATCATACTTCGTACTTACCGATCAACTCTGCAGTCACAAGCAAAAGCTACACAAGCGCCGTCAGCATCAAAATTTGATCTATCACATTCTGGGGCGCAAGGGTTCCATCGGTGGTAACGCGTACAGTCCAGAAGATAAGAGCTGCAACCGCAAAATAGTCATCGCCCTGCCGACCCTGGAAGCCAACGGCCGACCACCTTGCAAAGAATCGAATAAGGAGGATGAGCACCCCGAGGCCGTACTCAACCCAGGCTTCGACTTGGAAAGGGGTATCCGCCATCGTGACTTTACCAGGCAGGACAGGGTGTTGTCAAGAAAAATTCGCAAGTGATCGGGGGCTCAATCCCCTGAGGGAGAAGCGTGGATCATGGCGTCTTAAGAGAGATCCCGGGGGTACTTCGTACACTAGGGCATATTAGAAATGAGGTCCGAGGGCGAACCGTGGCCCCGGAGAGGAAGGCGGACTTGCAGTTTTTGCTGGATCCAGAACCGGACGCTGAGAGCTGAGGTCTGAGCGTATTTAGCACATCCCTGGTAATTCCAAGCCCGGTTATTCATTCGCAGCTGTAATAAGCGATCGGACTTGGACCCTGAGGCTAGGAGGCTAGCGGGCACTAGACAGGGGCTATCTGGAACTATTGAACTGGGTATTTTTCATGCAAAGAACCACGCGAAAATACATGTCCAGATCCTTGCAAGCGTGGTCACGAATTTTAGAGCAAACAAGTCTAATCCCTGGTGCATATCGGACCCGGTGTGATCGATCGAATCGGTATGCCTTATGCCCCTGGCAGCCCTATAGGTTCGGAATACTCCTTTCTAATTATTCCTATTCCACCAAGGGAAATAAACACTGACCAGATGCGCCCAGGATCCATACTATCCAGAACAATCTCAAAATTTTACTATCTGGATTCAACACTTTACTAATCATCACTATTATTTAACTCTATCACTATTTTCCCTTTTTTCTATAATACTTCCCTTATTTAAGAAAATAGATTTATTAATAGAATCCTATTTATACTAAAAACACCCCTTTACCTTCTTACTTCTCTTTTCTCCACCTTATATTATTAGACTTTATTTTAGTTTATTTTAATATCTATAACTAATTACTTAATTACTTTTTATTCTAGATTTAAATCTAGTTAATAATTTTCTATATTCTCTTTAAATTTCTAAACTTTAATTTATCTACTCTAAAAAAATAAAATACCTTAATAGCTTCTAATAGAAAGTAAGTAATATTATTATTTTCTATTTTAGATTAATTTACTAATTATTATTATATATTATAGATTAAAATACTAGTAATTATATTAAGAGGTATTTATTATTAATATAATATAATATCTTATATTATTTTATAATTAGATAATATAAAATTACTTTTATCTAGTAGTAATAAGCTAGTCTATAGATACCTATTATATTAGAGCTATCTAGTTTATTTTATATTCCCTTCTACTAAAGCAATTATATTTTAATAAGGTTATAAGCTATATAATATTTCTAAATAAGATTTTATCTATATTAATAATATAATATAAATCTCTAGCTTAAGAATCTTATTATTTTTATCTTTTTATTAATAGTTTTTTTAAATTAAGAAAAGGTTAGAAAATAAAAAGTTAAGGCTATAGTTTAAGCTTCTTATATAATAACTATAAGATATTATTAATTATAAGATAATATATAATATCTTTTAATATATTTTAGGAATTAGCTTATTTAGTATTTAATTAATTAATAAAATTAAATTAAAATATTTAAAGTAAAAGGATTATATAATTATCTATAGGTAGTAAAGTAAAAACTAGTTGATTATATTAATTTAAGGAATATATAAGAAATAGAAAAGTATACTAAATTTATATCTTTTTTAAACTTAGACTTAGCTTTTATTAGTAATAGTAAAGTAGATAAATAAAGACTATCTAAGTAAGCTCTTTATAGAAAATATTAAAATTAATAATTAAAAGCTAAAAAGATTTATTAATATATTATTTAGCTAATTAATTAAAAAGGTTAGTTATCTAAGCTATTATTAAATAGAAAAAATATAAAATATTATTTTATAGTATATAAGCTTAGAAATCTTTATATATATCTTTATTTAAAGATTATAAATTGTAAAAGGAAAAGGATTATATAGTTATAATAAAGAGATTATATAATCTAAAATATTAATATTAAATAGGTAAAATTAGTTTTTAAAAAGAAGAGGCTACTAATAAGATATACTTAAAAATCTTATAATTATTACTATTCTATTTTTAATTAAGATAACTCTACTATAAAGTAATATATAATATATTTTATAATTTTAAGATCTATTTTCTAAGATAAAGTATTTTTTAGTACTTTATATTATTTATAAGAATATAAAACTCCTTACTTACTAGCTATAAATATATTAGTAGTTATAATATAACTTTTTAATTTAAAAACCCCTTTATTTTTAATTATCTTTCTTTTATTAGTAATCTTCTTAATTTACTTAGAGAAAAAATAATAAGGGATATCTACCTATTATATAATAAGTATAGGATATTATTAATTATAATACCTTATATAATATCTCTTACTATAATTATTAATTTAAAAATCTTTTTATTTATATCTAAACTAAAAATTTTATATTTTAAAAAAAATTAAATTAAAAAATAATATAGGAGGATTATATAATTATATATAGATAATAGGGAGTAAGAGCTAGTTAAGTATAATAGGTTATAAGATATATATAAAAAGTAGGGAAATATATAAAATCTATATATAAATAGTTAATTAATAAATAACTTTAAATTAGAGCTTATTAGGTCTTATAGAATATAGAAAGTTATCTAATAGGGAATCTACTTATTTATTTTCCCTTATTTAAAGATTATAAGTTATAGGAGTAGATTATATAGTAAATATTATATAATTAGAAATACTAGTCCTTAAGGGGCTATTAGTAAATTATAGCTAAAGATCCTACTATTTTTTATATTAAGATAGCTACTTTTATAGAAGTAGGATAAACTATATCCTATAACTTTAAAATCTAACTTCTATATTTAATTAGATTTATAAATTTCTTTTATAAAAGAGAAGATTATATATTACTAGAAGAAAATAAGATTAAAAGGAATATAAGAGATATATATAGTTCTAGATTTAATTAACTTTACTTAGTAAAAATTAGTTAATTATATATAATAGATTTTATATAAAGTAGACTAGGCTTTATAGAACTTAAATAATATAATAAAGGAACTTTATATAATTATTTAAAGTTAGTAATTTTTAATTTTTCTATAAGATATTAAGAGCTATAATTAATAAAGTTATATAATATTTTAATTTCTTTAAAATATATCTAACTTTTATATCTTCCTTTATTATTTAGCTTCCTTACTATTTATTTTTATATACTATTACTTAACTATTACTATTTTCCTTTTCTACTAGGCTTATCTTCCTATAAAATTCCTTTTTTTATATTTTACTTATAAATTATATATTAATATATTTAGTTTTAATATTATAATACTTTTATAAATATAGCTTAAATAAGAATTTCTACTTTATTAATATCTTATATTATATATATTATCCTATTACTTCTTAAATTAATATAAAACTTTTTTAAAAATATCTAATAAAAGATAGTAAAGATTAAAATAATACTATAAGTAGTCTTATATTATATAATTAGAAGATTTTAAAAAATATATAAATTTAGAAATAAATCTTTTTTAATTTCCTATACTTTTTCTCTTATTCTCTTTTTATAAGTACCTTTAATAGCTATAGTAGTTTACCCTTCTAATATTAAGGCTTATATACTTTAGTTAAGATATTTCTATTTAGTAGAGCTTACTTAAACTCTAAGATTACCCTAAAGCTTTTTTAATAGTTAAGGATCTTTATATAATAATACTATATAGATTTCTAATAATAAAGATAGTAAAGATTATAAAGATATAATAAAGAGGAAGAGGCTCTTACTTTATTTATTTTATTTATACTAAAAGTATGTAAAAAATAATAATAAGAAAACTTATAATATTTATATTTTTAATATTAAAAAGTATATATTAATAAAGCTAATAATTAAAATATAGATTTTATAAGCTTAGAGATTTTAGATAATCTATTTATTAGAAGATAATATTAAATATAAACTTTTTTACTTATATTTATAAAATATTTACTTAATTTTAAAAGCTTTAAGATATCTAATATTTAATATTCTTTTTATTAGTAACTTATTAATATAGATTACTTTAATAATTTCCTAAAGTTAACTAAAATAGCTTAGGTACTATTATTTTATATTAAGTATAAGAAAGATAAAGCTTATATTATATAGAAGAAAAGGGGCTATTTTAAGATTAATTAGTTATCTTTCTATATATAAATATTACTAAACTATAAGTATTTTAAAGAGGTATTAAATAATAAGTAATATTACTATAAGGCTTTAGTTTACTAGGATATTAAGGCTAGGAAGAAGCTATATTTTCTAATAACTACTTCTAATTATATAGGTATTCCTTACTATATAGTTATTATTTTACTAAGATATTATAATTTAAAAGGATTTAAAGCTATATTAGAAAATATAATAAATTATTTTTTAAATTTTCTAAGGGAGAGGGTAGTAAGTAATAAGCTAATATCAAATTTAAAACCCCTACTTTATATATAAATTATACTAGTTCCTAAGCTAGCTATAAGGCTAATAATAGATAATATAAAGGTTATAGAAAAGAAAGTAAAAAAGATATTAAAGAAAAGTAATTAAATTAAGAAGTTATTATATAAAGATTATAGTAATATAGTAAATAAAGATAAGGAGGAATTATTTTAATAATATTTTTTATATTAATATCTAATAATATATATATAATAACTTAAGCTTATTTTTAAATTAGGTATTAAAGTTAGTAATCTATATTATAAGATATATTAAGATTTAGATAGAGGATATTTTTAAGTTTAAAAAAGTATTTTAAGAGTTAGATTAAAATTTAGTAGATAAGTTATATAATTATAGTATATAAGCTAAGCTAATATAAGATAGGAAATAAAAGTAGTATAATAAGATAAGTATCTTTTACTATTACTAGCTATATCTTAATATTACTTATAGTAATAATCCTAAAGTACTTACTAACTTTTTAAAACCTATATTCTATAGTTTTTATATATAAGTATATTAAAAAAGTATATAATTTAAATATAATAAGGACTACTTTAGTAATATTTAATAAAAGCCCTGAAGAA